AAAAGTCTATAGACTCACGTTATCGAGCTGTCTGCTGCGCTAGTCGGACAATAATGGGAAGTATCATCAAACAACAGGCGGCGCCCTTCACAATTTTTAACGGTGTCAAGTGACAATCTCATAACCCGTTAAGTCCCCGCATTAACTAAGCAAAAAGAAAAACGGATAACGAAACCATTTCCCAATTCCTAAGCAAAAAGAAAAACGGATAACGAAACCCACTTCCCCAATTCCTAAGCAAAAGGAAAAACGGATAACGAAACCAATTCCCATTTCCTAAGCAAAAAGAAAAACGGATAACGGACTTCGAATCCAAAATCCATTCTCGACAGCAAAACGGATAACGAATAACGATTCCCATTTCCCCATTCGACAGCCAAACGGAAAACGAATAACGATTCGTAAGAGGAAGATCAAATCAGACAACGAAAATCAAGTCAGAAGAGAGGAAAATCAAGTAAGAAGTGAAAAATCACGTCAGAGTAAGAAGAGGAAATCAAGTTACAACAAGTGGTGGTAAGGTACGGCTGTAAGGGGAGATGGGAGGCCGTTTTAGAAGAGGAAAATCAAGCACGAATCCAGTCAGAAGAGGAAAATCAAGCTAGAAGAGGAAAATCAAGTAAGAAGAGGAAGATCACTTTCCAAGAGGAACATTTAGTTACAATTGGAAAATCAAGTCAGACGAGGAAAATTAAGCCCCAAGACCAACATCAAGTTAGACAAGGAAAATCGAATTATAAGTGCGGTGGTAAGGGAAGGCTGTAAGGGGAGATGGGAGGCTGTTTCAGAAGAGGAAAATCAAGCACAAATCAAGTCAGAAGAGGAAAATCAAGTTAGAAGAGGGAAAATCACTTTCCAAGAGGAACATTAAGTTACAAGTGAAAAATCAAGTCAGACGAGGAAAATCAAGCTACAAGAGGAAAATCAAGCCCCAAGAGGAAGATTAAGTTTCAAGAGGAAGATCAAGTAAGAAGATGAAATCAAGTTACAACAATTGGTGGTAAGGGACGGCTGTAAGGGGAGATGGGAGGCCGAAGAAGTCAGAAGAGTACAATCAAGTTAGAAGAGAAAAATCCAATTAGAAGAGGAAGATCAAGTCAGAAGAGGAAAATCAAGCTAGACAAGGAAAATCAAGACAGAAGAGGAAAATTAATTGAGAAGTGGAAAATTAAGTCAGAATTGAGGAAAATCAAAGTTACAAGTGGTGGTAAGGGACGGCTGTGAGGGGAGATGGGAGGCCGTTTCAGAAGAGGAAAATCAAGCACAAACCAAGTCAAAGAGGAAAATCAAGTTAGAAGAGAAAAATCAAGGTTGAAGAGGAAAGTCATATCAAAAGAGGAAAATCAAGCCCCGAGAGGAAGACCAAATCAGACAAGGAAAATCAAGTCAGAAGAAGAAAATCAAGTAAGCAGTGGAAAATCAAGTAAGAAGAGGAAAATCAAGTAACAAGTGGTGGTAAGTGACGGTTGTAAGTGGTGATAGCAGGCCGGCCGTTTCAGAAGAGGAAAATGACGCACGAATCAAGTCAGAAGAGTAAAATCAAAGTAGAAGAGGAAAATCAAGTTACAAGAGCAAAATCAAATAAAATCAACGAAAATCAAGTCAGATGAGAGGAAAATCAAGTTGAAAGAGGAATATCAAGCCTCCAAAGGAAGATCAAGTAAGAAGAGGAAAATCAAGTTACAAGTGGTGGTAAGGGACGGCTGTAAGCGGAGATGGGAGGCCGTTTCAGAAGAGGAAAATCAAGCATCAAGAGGAAGATGAAGTTAGATTAGGAAAATCAAGTCAGAAGACGAAGATAAAGTTAAAAGAGGATAATCAAGTAAGAAGATAGCCCCAATAAGAAGATCAAGTTAGAAGAGGAAAATCAAAACCCAAGATGAACATCAAATTAGAAGAGGAAAATCAAGTCAGAACAGGAAGATAAATTGATAACATGAAAACCAATTTATAATATGAAGGTCAGGTTAGAAGAGGAGTTAATGTCAAGTTTCAACAGTTGGTGGTGAGGGTCAGCTGTAAGGACAGATGGGAGGCCGTTTCAGAAAACATGATCATCAAGTTTGAAGAGTAAGATCTAGTCAGAAGAAGAAGATTAATTGATAACTTGAAGGTCAAGTTGAACGAGAAAGATCAAGTTAGACGAAGAAAATCTAGTTATAACAGGAAGATCAGTTTATATCATCAACAACAAGTTAAAAGACGAATAACAAGTTAATTAGAAGAGGTAGATCAAGATCACTTTATATCATCAAGATCAAGTTAGAAGAGGAAGATCCACTAAGAAAATCAAGAACAAGTTAGAAGAACAAGAGGTGGATCAAGACGGGGAAAGTCAAGTTAAAACAGAAAAATCAAGTCAGAAGAGGAAAATCAAGCACTAAAAAGGAAGATCTTAGTAAAGGAAAATCAAGTTTAAAAAGGACCATCAAGAAGATGAATTTATAACATCTAGATCAATTTGGAAGAGAACGATCCGGTTAGAAGAGGAAAATCAAGATATAACAGGAAGATCAATTGCGTGTGTTCTGATATATATATATGACTGGTGTGATAAGGGTCGGCTGTAAGGGGAGATGGGATGACGGGATGAGATGATGGGATGGATGTAAGGGGAGATGAGATGAACAGAAGACGCAGTTTAAGTAAGAACAAGATGAGAAAAGAAATGTGTAGCAGAAAAAGCTAGTAGAAAAGTTAGGAGAAAAAGTGTTAGAGAAAAAGAAAAGGAGAAGAGCAAAACAATAGGAAAATGTTAATAGACAAAATTAGAAGTAGTAAGAAGTATTGAACTTAAAAGACGTAGTTAAAGGATTTAGGTAAATACATAAGAAGTTAAGAGAAGACAGTGTCCGAAAAACTGTAGAAGCCCAACATGAATATATTAGAGAGGAAAGATATGTTAGAAGAAGCAGGAGGAAAAGAAAAATCACAAAAAGAAGATAAGATAGAGGAGGAAGATAAAGTGAGAAAGGGGTGATAAAAAAGAGAAAGTTGGAAGAGGAAGAGAAAGACTATAGGAAGATCCATTAAGATACATTGAACACGCGTCTGAACGAGCGTTTTGCCCATACTTTTTTTTCACTGAATCACGGTTTAAACGCGCACGACTGGCGGTCTATGCGTCTAAGTAACTCGAACTCGTATGTAGGTCCTACTATAGGCCTACATTTGTTTCATTGATTGGGAATTTATTTTAAAGGAAAATATACACTTTTTAAGCTACAAGGCGAGCTAGAGCCTATGTTGAGATTGAATCAAGTATTAAACTGTTGGGGCGAGGGAAAGAGTTTTCTTTGATGCCAATAGGTCGGGCAAGGAAATGTTATGTGATGCGTGTTTGAAAGAAACATCGGCGGCTGGTTTTCAAACTGGGGTGGGGGCCGGCATCACCAGAAAGGGGCACTTGCTCATTAAAAAGCATCTTCCTGGCTTTGGTGCAGCAGCGCGTACCCAGCATTTTATGGGGGCACATCCGTGCTGAAACTTGAATGTCGACATGTTGGTTTTTTTTCACTGAAAAACAACTGTTATCCGAAATTTTAGGGCCACGGTTTTGTTTTCATCTGGGGGGGGGGGAGGTTACAGGTTTGAGGGGGCACATTAATGTCCGCAAAAGGGGAACTTGGGTATGGGGGCCGGGGGGGGGGGAGAAGTTCCCGGCCCCGTTCCGCCGCCCCTTGCAAGAAACTGTTTTCAAGACCGTCAGAAATGTTATTGTAACTGAAGCAATTATCTCAAAGGCCCCATCCAACATCCGCGTTAAGTTCTGCGTTTGTTGGTGTAAATCGAGGACGTGCAACATCACCGATGAATCGAGGACAGAAACCGAATGGACTCTTCGATGGAAAATGTGCACAAAACCAACGCGAGCCGTTGCAAAAAACTTAAACGAGTTGAGGTACAAACTGGAAAAGGGAAGAGGGACAGAAGAAAATCATCAATTTACACCATAAACAAATGTGCTTGTTCAGTTGGGTCGAAATTCATCTTTGCGTGAACTGCGTATTTTTATGTGCGTGCTGTGAGTTAGTTATGTAACGGACAGTTTGTTTTCCGTAGTTACAAGTAGTAGACGGCGCCACCGCCGCCGGCGGAGTGCCTCCGGCGGCGCGCACCTGGCCTGGTTTTGAGTCTGGGCCGGCGCGCGCTCCGGAAATAGGTTGTTGTAAATAGATCACTTCAATTGGGTTCTTTTGTTTGGGTACGCGGGAAGGGTTTGGATAAGTTCCAGGGCTGGGTTAAGTTGTTACAAATGTATATATTTTTCAGACAGTGCGTTTTGTATGCTGAGAATGTTCAGTTGTGTTTTTGGAAGCATTGCGGCAGGTAGCCGGTCTTTACAGAATTAAAACGAAACAAGTTGAGTTTTGCTTCAAGCCTTGAGTCAATTGCGTCCCCTTTTTCTGGCGTTTTGCTAAATTGGGGGACAAGAACCCAACTAGGTCTACGCTACAGTTACTAATGTTAGGTGTGATCACTTTCTTCGGATGGAAATTTCTCTCAAATTTCAGATTGCCCCCCCCCCCCCGAAAAAAATGGAATAACAGAAAATAAAAGATGATGAAAAACTTCAATTTGATGCGTATCTTGCACAATTCTTTAAACTTCTTCAAACTTGACCTCTCACTGAGATGTTCACAGTAACGCGGTATCGAGGAAGGAATTATCTTTGAATTCCGGATTTCTGTTATAAATTACGGTAACACGGTACGCGGAAGGCAATTCAAGCTTCCGTAACATAACAAAGCGTGTGTGAAATTATCAACAAACCAATGCTTGACTTGCACCAATCCCTTCTTGACCATTTTCCTAATCGACGATATCCAGAGTATAATAATTTTTCTATAATAAGGCTTAGTTCAAATCACCCAAAAAGAACTATTAACTGATAACATTCATAAACTGAACGACTTCACTGTGTATTTCTGGAAAATTTAAAGGCATGTTTGAACTAAATCTTTTGAATTCTTCCCCTTCCAATATCCCTGTGGGTATTGTCAATTGACATGGACTTGATTTCAAGATGGAGTCTCGCGCAACGGTGAGATGTGGCAGTCAGCGGGGCGCACAAAAAATGAAAATATTGAGAAGAACTGTTCTTCTTGGGGTGTGTTTGCTGTCTTTGACCGGATGCGAAGCTACTACCCACTGGCTAGTCACAGAAGAAGGCCTGATAACTCAACAGGTGAGGACAAAATCGGAGGAAATGTTGATGACCGGTATTACGTACATTCAACATTGCAACATCTGAATATGTTGCAATATGCCTACACACGTCTGGCATATGTCTGGTCGTTCTATTCGAATGTCGGACACTTCGCCCCATTTCCACGTCGCCCCATGTCACTTCGCCCCTAACCACTTCGCCCCATCCCCACTTCGCCCCATCCCCACATCGCCCCATCCCCACTTCGCCCCATCCCCACTTCGCCCCATCCCCACTTCGCCCCATCCCCACTTCGCCCCAGCCGTTACATGTAAAAAAAAAAATCTCATCTATTTTTTTGGCTTAAAAAAAAACTATTTCAATAGATTCACTAATTGCTAACCAACGGAAAGAATTAGCCCATCACCAAATGAACAATTCATACCCAACCTCTCAAGCTAGGCTCTCCCCTACCGAGAAAAAAGCTTGAAGTAAAAGATCCAACTTTGTTCCCAACCCGGCTATACCAACCCGTCTCCCACTTATCTGAGAACGACAATACCTTTGACATCCTAATTTCACTCTTGGAGGAACCAATCTCATCAATGAAGTTGTAAGTCTCACATATCAGACAAATTTTGACGTAACATTTTCCTCAAGGCAGTGAGTTCCTTTGAACTCACTGACCCATACCTACGGGATTCTTTTGAATCCAGCGGCTGATGATTTTATTTAAGCCATCATTTCTCTCATCTGTGTCTCGAGCACCTCATCAGAGAGTTTGTATTTTTCCTGAGTTTCTAGAATTGGGAGCATTTATTATCTGGGGTCTTTGGCAGTTTATTTGGTCTGCACCCCTAGCCTTCCCTTTTTTATACTACATGGGGCGAAGTGGGGATGGGGCGAAGTGGGGATGGGGCGAAGCGGGGATGGGGCGAAGTGGGGATGGGGCGAAGCGGAGATGGGGCGATGTGGGGATGGGGCGAAGTGGGGATGGGGCGAAGTGGTTAGGGGCGAAGTGACATGGGGCGACGTGGAAATGGGGCGAAGCGTCCGACACCCTTCTATTCTGTAGTGTAAATCATCATAAAAATTGTTGAATGAACAGTTGTCACTTCATTTAAAGTGTACACTACAAAGTCGGAAAAAGTCATTCATTGCAAAAATGATGATAAGGATTAAGACATGAATCTGGGACTGATGATGAGAAACATTTCCATTTCCAATTTCGTCAGAAAATGTTCTTGACTCTCCATTGACTTTGTACACATTCACGGAAGTGGCCTTAGGTTGCAACATTTTTTTTCCACAAAGTCTATCGAGATTCCCATAATATCTGGCCATCACTCATTTTTCCCTTCAGTGACCTATCAGCCATCAGAAAGTGATAATATGTCCTAAAAAGTCAAATTTAACAGGGAAAATATTGAACTTTTGAAGTAGGCCTACAGTCGTTTTCCTAGTTCCGGATTTTTTCCTAGTTCCGGATAGCTTCAAATAAAAACCTATTTTTGGATAAGTCCCCAATAAATTTTTTTAAACGATGTGCATTTTGAAAAGGAAAATGTAAGCTCCTTGAGACACAAAGATTTTTCATAAAATCAAAATAAAAAGAGCTTAAATTTTGAAAATTGTTTTATGGTCTCTCCATCACTCAGGGTAAACTTTTTAATCAATGTCACTTGAATTCGTGGAGTAGTTGAGCCGGAAGCAGCCTGAATGATGTTTGCTATCCGGAACTAGGAAAACGACTCTATTTAATGAGAAAACACTTATTAATGTTCAGCATGTTCAGACCAGTCTCATAAAGTTTGTGCACAGGGTGACAAGTGATGCCATGATGGCCAGACACGGGAATATTTCTGTGTCTACATACTATTGATCCTTGTGAATATTTTAAAACTTTGGGTCTGTTTGAGTTGTCGGTTAATTTATACTCAAATCTCAATTAGAAATTCTTAATTATTTTAATAAACCTTAATTTCCTTAACACAGTCATGACGGCTACATGTAGCTATCATGTTATGGCAACCGTTGAGATACAATGTTCAAAAGTCCATTTTGGTGACGGATGCTTATAGGGTTTTACTTGGGTACATTTTAGCCCGACTGCATCTGGCCGTACAGTACTATCGCAAGCTCTGTAGTACGGCCAGACGCTCAATGCTTCCACAAAGACTGAATTTTTTTCCCTGACTGAATTCATAGTTTATGACGTTTGTCGGGCGCGCGGCGCGGCTGGCCATACAAACACGAGGTCATGAACTAAATAATGCATATTCATTATCTTACCCAAGCACGCTCGCATAATGCATACATTACAACGTGGCCGCCATTTTTAAATCGCATGGAGGACATTTTCAGGACGATATCTGTGGAAGATGATGACTAAAAGTCGTCTTTTGGCCAGATGGATGAAAATATTGAGACCAAAGAACGTTTTTTCGAAAGGGTAGGCCCTATGAGTTGCTCTACGATTAAGAACCTTAACTTTGGAAATTTGTGTCCTGGATGAAAAGATAATCTCGATCAAAATCTGTAGCAAAATCGCTTCATCAGCGGGAAAAAAAAATTCAGTCTTTGTGGAAGCATTGAGCATCTGGCCGTACTACAGAGCTTGCGATAGTACTGTACGGCCAGACGCAGTCGGGCTAGGTACATTTATACCAAACAAAGTCTACTGTCCTGACGACGTTTCATTCTCTCCGCAGCTCAACTCGCACTTCAACATGAGGGAGCCCTACAACTTCATCTCCTTCCTCAAGCAAGGCAGGCGCGGCGAGAGCGTCCGGGAGCTAGAGCTGGAACTGGAGCGACAAAAGTCTGAGATCGAAGCCAACGAGGATAAAGACTTGGACTTGGAGCAGAGATTTCTGAAGACAGACAGTGACTGCGTGGCTGCGCAGGAACCGCTGGCCCAGCAGAACCTCTACCCTACTGTCGTGGTACCCCTGTTCCTCAAGAGTATCAAGTAAATATCAAACTCAGTTTGTAAATAATTTTTTCATTTCTGGTATTGAAACCAGTGATTCCATTAACCCTAACTCCCTAGGCCTTTCTGCTAGGATGTAGCCTCAATCCTGCAAAATCCTCCAATTGGCCTCATGGAAAAATAGCATATAGCCTCAATCCTGCAAATTCCTCCGTTGTTTCTTGAATATGGTCCATGGAGGGGTGACCACTGCCTGAATCCTGCAAAATTCTCCGGCTGTGACTGTCAATAGGCTGAGGCAGAGGCAGTGACATCCTGGAGCAGTGCGGAGGATGTCAAGTATAATCAAGGACTAAACTATGCACGGCTTAGCATAAACAACACAAGGTCTGGCCCAAGACCTTGACACAGTGCGTACTCCGAAATCAGCAACGCACTTTTGCCATGTATCCTCAATCCTGCAAATTCCTCCAATTTGCAAAAAGGATTTTGGAGGATTCAGGGCGGTTGGGGTCAAAGCTCCCGTGGCACTGTAGCTCACAAACCTGGAGAGAGCTGTAGAGAGAAGACAATGAAGAAATGTTCAGTTGTAGAATGTGCGAGCGTTGGAAGGCGAGGAATGCAACCAATTCACCAACCTGATTCAGACAGTCATTCAAAAGCTTTTTAACCCGTATAAGTCGCCATAATCCTGACTCAGGTTTTATGGGTAAGGCTAGCCCATTGAAACCTCTTCACGAGCCTATGAAAAGACGTGAAGGCAGGCACTATCAAATGGGCACAATTGCAGAATACCCCGCCACTCGATCTGATCCACCTCGTAGCCGGCTATGAGGTCATGGTTGGTTGACCTCAAACATTCTCAGCGCTACTTGTATGTACTGTGCGTCATGCTCCATTGCACTCCCACTTCGTAACCGCGTAGCCGCCAACAGGGTTGTTGGTTTGGACTAAAAAAAAATTTAGCAACTCCCATTCCTATTGTGTTGCTTCGTTCTCAAGCATATTCAAGGGGACTCCCACTCCGTATCCGCGTAGCCGCCAACAGGGTGGTTGGTTTGGACTTAGAATTTTTTTCAGCAACTCCCATTCCTTTTGTGTTGCTTCGTTCTCAAATAATGGACCCCCACTCAGTATCCGCGTAGCTGGCGTGGACTTGAATTGTTTCTTTTCCAGTGATTCCAACCTCGTAGCCAGAGAATTTAGGGGTGTATTTCCGAGTGGCGGGTATTCTGCAATTACCCCATCAAATGAACCTGATTTAATCTTAATTTTGATCTCAGTTGTTTGCGGCACTTGGCACATAATTTCAGCATAAGAAACTTTTTTAAAAACAGAGAAAAATACTTAGCTGTGTAATAAGATAATCTTCTGAAGCCTGTTGATTGTGACACTTATCAGTAGTTTATTTGACCACTAAAAAACTTCAGTATCCCTCTTGAACATTTTGCATGTATTGCGAGGAGCGCCAAAATCACGCATTTGGCATTGTATACTCTAGCCTGCAGTTGTATGTGTGTTGCCAGCGCATATATTGATGACGTTCACATGCGTACATCCATGGTGCAAAGCGGGTAACACGTTTTTGCGAAAAGTCGTAATCTAACCTCCCTGTTATTAAATCGATTCATACGCACAATTTTGGTCGACCAGGACTTGTAGTCTGATAGTTAACCCTAACCCCCTAGGCCCTTTTTGCTAAGAACCATCCTCAATCCTCCAAAATCCTCCACAATTTTGCAACTCTGCCTACATTTTTCAAAATTGTCAGACAGTCCTGCCTCAAAATGCATTCATCGTCAATTCTCCAACATCCTCCTCATCCCAAAATTTTGCACTTGTGTTTAAATGAAGGATAAACCAACGCCAAATCCTTCAAAATCATCAGACAGTCCTGCCTCAAAATGCATTCATCCTCAATCCTCCAAAATCCTCTTGTGCTTCATTCACCATTTATCCTCAATCCTCCAAAATCCAGTCTTGCAAATCCCAACAAAATATACAGTAAACTGTGCACATAAACAGTTGGACTCTGTTAATTTGTGGTACAAATGTATGCTTAATCCCACGTAAAGCACAGTCAGTTTTGCAGTACTCATCCTAACAGATTCTAACAAACCCTGGTGTTGGAGTTTGGCTGGTTGGGGAATGTTAGGGCTAAGGTTCCTATGAAGATTCCTTGCCATTTTTTGGTTAGAAACTTTCGCCGATCCTTCAAACTCCTCGACTGTGCATGAACCAATGACATTCTGCTATCCTGTAAAATCCTACAAAATCATCAAGATTTTAAAGGATCACAAGAGGTTTGCGGACAATGTTAACCCTAATTCCCTAGGCCTTTTTGCTAGGATGTACATTGTAGCCTCAATCCTGCAAAATCCTCCAATTGGCCTTATGGAAAAATAGCATATAGCCTCAATCCTGCAAATTCCTCCGCTATTTCTTGAATATGGTCCATGGAGGGGTGACCACTGCCTGAATCCTGCAAAATCCTCCGGCTATTCATGACTGTCAATAGGCTGAGGCAGAGGCAGTGACATCCTGGAGCAGTGCGAAGGATGTCAAGTATAATCAAAGGACTAAATTTATGCACGGCTGAGCATAAACAACACTAGGTCCGGCCCAAGACCTTGACACAGTGCGTACTCCGAAATCAGCAACCCACTTTTGCCATGTAACCTCAATCCTGCAAATTCCTCCAATTTGCAAAAAGGATTTTGGAGGATTCAGGGTTAATGTTACCTGTTGGCCCTACTTATAAGGATGTTTCATGTTGTATCTGTTCAGGGCTAAAGATTTTCTAGACACTAGCGGTCCTCTGGAAGTCAGCCGAAACGCCATGCCCAACTGCACCAAGCTGTTCTATCTCCCTTTCAGCATGCATGCTTATGACCATCTACAGGTAGGGACAAACACTGCGAAGGGTCGAGTACAGGGTGTCCCAAAAAAATGCTCCACTCTCCTTTGTTTACAAATCCAAGCAAACCTGAATGCATAAATGTTCTTATTATGCATGGTAAGAATGTTATGTTTCTTGGTTGTTATCTACCAAAAAAATTGGATCATACTATCGATCCACTAGGGACAGAAATGCTTAAATATGAACTCGCCTCCATTTGCCAACTGCGCTGGGGACTCAAATCACCAATTTTAAAATGTCGATTTTTGTCAATTTTTGACAATTGTTCACCTATGGCTGATTGTTCACAATTGATTTACAAATAGGTATTTTTAGTCAAAGTCCAATAAATGGACAATGCCATGGTTGGTTGGTTTTCTCATGTATGCTTGACAACAACTGATGACTGGTCTTCCATTATAGACACCCAGTAGAATTTTTGAAAAGCACACTTGACAAAAATCGACATTTTAAAATTGGTGATTTGAGTCCCCAGCGCAGTTGGCAAATGGAGGCGAGTTCATATTTAAGCATTTCTGTCCCTAGTGGATTGATCCAATTTTTTTGGTAGATAACAACCAAGAAACATAGCATTCATACCATGCATAATAAGAAACTTTATGCATTCAGGTTTGCTTGAATTTGTAAACAAAGGAGAGTGGAACATTTTTTTTGGGACACCCTGTATATCATTTGGCATTTGTGCATTTTTGTTTGTTTGAAGTAACGGAAGTGCTCAAAATCAAAAATAAGGGTGCTGAACAAGTAACCTTTTAAATGTTCAGTTCAGTGAATGCTGTAATTTCCGAGAATTGATTATTTGATCTCGATTTTAATTCAAAAGTTGCCGAGTCATGTTTTGAATTGTACCTGAAATCAGCATCTGGGACACGTTCTCATTAAGCCGATTGCAGCTACGCGATGCCACGCACTAAACCGACCAATTATAGCAACCTCGCATGTTCATGTTGTGTCAACGCTTGCGCACACCCATTCACGGCTTCACCAAATTAAAAACGAACTAATAACAAAAATTTCCAAAAATATTTCTTTAGAATTGGCCGTCTTTTATTGTTTTCTTCGAAATGGATATTTTGCACAATGGTGTTAGATATATGTATATATATTTTCAGAAGCAAAATCCCATGCTTTAGTTTTATAATTTAGATTTTTTACTTTTTGATAAACTTTTTATTACATTTTTTTATTATTATTTTTTTTGTAAATTGATGTATTTATTATTATATCAAGTTTTTGTTTTAATTGCAGGGCATTCAGGAAAGGCATAGTTTAACCGATTTTGTGGAAGAGAACGTTGGCGACCAGCTGAAGGGAGTTGGGCCTGAAGGACAGACTGGTCGACTGCTTTACAGGGCCCTCAAACGGGTATAAACCATAGAGCTATATTAAATTACTAGAGCGCTAACTTCATGTAGGGAGTTGGGCCTGAAGGACAGACTGGTCGACTGCTTTACAGGGCCCTCAAACGGGTATAAACCATAGAGCTGTATTAAATTACTAGAGCGCTACTTCACGTACAAAGTAATGCCTGCTGGGCGCATCCATGTTTGTGCACAAACCTATGGAGACCTAGAAATTTTGTACAGCTTTTGTACGGCTGTTTGCATATCTGCGTTTGTATTCCATACCGGTGTGTTATCGAAGCCAATACGCCCAAAACCAAAACGCACGATCAGCAAATGAGCGTGTCATTTTGCTCTACGCAAACAGCGCAAACAGCGCAACGCGTGCGCGTATTCGCTGCAGATGCTTTTTGCCGTCGCGTTTTTTGGAACCGTGAATGACCGTGAATGTTTGCGTATGTTCTAATTGCGCGTTGCATGTAGAGTACACTTTCAAAATTCAATCCATCTAATTTCATTATGTTCTACAAACACGCACATGAATAAGCCTTTTCGGAGTTCAAACTGCGCGCATTCGTAACCTGTGACAACGCACATTGTTTGTCTCAAATGCCCTTTGACAGTACCCACAATGCACAAACAGCCTTTTTGTAAAGTCAGTGGCGCGATGATGTCAAAGGCCATTTGAGACAAACAATGCGCGTTGTCACAGGTTACGAATGCGCAGTTGGAACTCCGAAAAGGCTTATTCAAAATGTCTGCGCCTAGGACGGCTTCAAAGCGTCTCCGTGCGCAGAATGGCGAGTTAGCGCTCTAGTAATTTAATATAGCTCTATGGTATAAACTTAAAACCCTAAAGGGTGCAACCAAAATAGGCCATGAAGAATTGTTATAACTTCAATTATTCTATATTAGGAGAGTTTTGAGAGCCATGGAATTGGGGGATTGAAGACATGTGATGCGATCAAGCTAAATGAGTCGTTTGTCAGGAACTTTCATTAGGAGATTCAAGCCAAAATAGGGCCACTTCATCACATCACTTCATCGCATCTTTTGGTGTTCCCACTTCTATAATTCTTGAACTTAAGATGTTATCAGCCACGTCAGCATGCGGTTTTCACACAACAGTAATGCTAAGATTGAGCTCTTTTGAAATCTGTAAAAAAAAATGTTGAGTGTCGACAAATGATTCATTTAGCTTGATCGCATCACATATGGCACTGCACCTCTGGACAGGGCTTGAGGCTTCCAATCCTGAGCTTTTCGGATGCAATTGGGTCCAAAAGTGGCGCTATTTAGCCAAGCTGTGGAGGGATTCTTTTTCAAAATGCTACTTTTCCATTTTGGGGGAAACGTCATTCGTTTTAGGTGTGGTCTTCTTTGGGTGAGAATTTCTCCAAAAAGTCTTTGTCAACCCATCAAAGTTATTTTTTAAAACTTTTTTATTAGAATAAGACTTCATGGGAGCTGTACACGCTGGCTACCTTCTACTGGCGTGCCATGGGCAACTCTCTGCAAGTCATTGAGTGCGGACGTAGGGCCTTGCACTTTGCATCACAGTAAGTACCCTTGAATTCGGGCGACTCACAATGCAGTGCGCCACCAAGAGTTTGCCATGGAGAGTCCATGTTTCAAGTTTACGGTTTCGCTCATACCCCCCGGCCTGCAAACAGGATGCTGGGATACTCTGATGAGCTTCACAGAATCTTGTGAAGGAAGTGGCCTATGACCTATGTATAAAGCATCTGGCTGCAGCTGTTCAAGACCGCAGTTAGACAATGTGCGCAAATGCTATCCGAAAACTTCCCGTAGAAATTCACACGTTCCATACCGGATGTGATTTCTGCTTCATTGCGGACCATGTGAACAAAATTTTGAGCGTCGCATAATGCAATCCGACCATTCGTGATTCGAAACGGAGCCTGAGCAAGTGATGGGAATTGTAAATTGACAACACAGATAAGTTTTACAGAATTTCCTACATTATTACGCTTTTCAATGAATAAAAAACACCTCTAAACTGGAATAAAAGAGTAATGAACCAGTCTATAAAGGCCGTTTCAAACCTTGCAGAGTCATGACCGTGATGACGCGCAGGTCACAGGTCACGCATCCAACCAATCAGAGCGTGAATTCATCAGAGTATTCCAGCGTCCTGTTTGCAGGGCGGGGGGGGTACGAGCGAAGTTTACGGTCGACAAAACACGGCCCAATTGAATGGGTGTCAGTAGATAACTTGAACTAATTTGTTGTAGATTGGGACATAGCATTCTGCCGCCTTACAAAAACACCATATTGGTGAAAAGAAAAGAAAAGGGAAACGTACATGTATACTCGAATCATACAGTTACGAAACTACTGACTGGAAAAACTACCAATTTCAAATTATGCTGCAAATTTGTTGACTCTCTTAAACAATGCGCTAGGGAAAATGAACTCTCCGTGGCAAACACTTGGTGGCGCACTGCATTGTGAATCGCCCGAATTCATTTGCAGCAATCTTAAATGGTGCATGACTTTACTTACAATCACCATTAGAATTACAATTGTTGACCTCGACTGCCATTCAATCAATCAACCTGATAATTATCCGGTAAATTCAAACAAGGAGTTTATGAAGACAAATTCATTTGACAAATTCAGAAAAAAATGCAAAAAAACTATCTTGTATATGTACTCTTTTGCAATGTAAAAGTTTTCAATTGGCTGCTACTGTGGAATGTAATCCCTTTTTGCAAAATATCAATATTTGACCTGATAGCTTTAGTCAAACACTAAACAGGGCCGGTTCAAACTCATTTTTGATAAAAATGGGTATTAGCCCTGTACAAGGGGTGACATTCCGGAGTGTGTGTTTGTTTTTCCTGCAGTAAAGACAAGAACATAGCCTTAGTCAACATGGCCAGCGTGCTGCATCGCAGTCACCAGTCAGCGTCTGCCGCCGTGATGGCACACGCCGCCCTGGAGGCAGGACAAGAGGTGCCCAAGCTGCACGTACTATTGGGCAGCATATATGCCGTAAGTTACTACAGCTGTTCTTGGTTCTTGGTTGGTTCTTCTCCTAAATACTCCACGTGGGAGTTTATTCAGGAGGCCAGAAACACCGGGGCAAACCCCTTCTCTTAGCGATAAGTGTTTACTGGGTTCTTTTACGTGCATTTATACAACACACGGGACCTACAGCTTAACGTCCCATCCGAAGGACGAAGCAATAATGGTTGAGTGCCTTGCTTAAGAGCACAAGTGTCCGCCGGCGGGCTCGAACCCACGTCACTGTTGCCTCTGAAACACCAGAACGTGAGTCCGGTGTTCTTAACCGCTAGGCCATCACACTCCTAGCTGTGCTGCACCCTTTCTGAAAGCCTGAGTGCAGAAAACTGTTAACCCTAACTTATGGGCTCCGTGCGCTAACAAAGAGGGCGCCCTTTTACCTAGCAACGACGTCCCATGGGCGGGCGGGACACATACATTTCGCTGGTTGAAGCGCACCATTCCTTGTGTGTGACACACGTACACCAGGGGATTTGTACTATGCACAAGCAGTGGCCACGCTTCAACGCGGCAAAATAATACAGTCAGGCAAGATGGCGTCGATCGGTCACCCCCAATTGAACTTTCTTTGCCAGTGAGGGGGTACTTGTGAACGGAGCGGATACCTATTAGTTCCCCACGACTACCCTGCTAAATCTAACAGAGTCTGACGGTGTGCTCATGTGAGTTCCTGCTCAATCCAACGCAGTCCTACACAAACTTACCAAGTTGTTTGGTCAGTCAGTCATGGTGCCTTCCGCTTGCCAGCAGGTGGGCTATTAGAGAGCTCCAGCCTTTTCTGTTCTGCATTGGGTACCTGAACGTATAAAATGACTGGCATACTCACTCCAACAGAATCCAACTGTGCCTTTATGTTGTTGGATCCAACAGAGTCCAACGTGGCGTTTTTTTATCAGTATGCAACACAATCCGACTCTGAATGTTTTCAGTTGCCTGCTTAATCCAACAGATTTCAACAGGAATATATACAAGGGCTTTACTGCTCAATCCAACAGGACCCCACAGATATGTATAACAGTAGGATCCTGTTGGATTGAGCAGGGTTATGAGTTGAACAAAAATCTGTTTGTTCTGAATGTGCACAAACCGGTGGCATTGCGTGTAACCTCCACTAGAACCTTCTGAGAGAAAACAGTCAATCTAACTGTAAACTGGCCAGCCCTCTAATCTATCTTAATCCTTTGTCCAAACAGTGGCTTTATAATCCCTAACACTTGGTGTAATAAAGCTACATGTGCTGTCACACAGCTGATATTGACAAGTGCTGGGGATTAGCAGCAGTATCGGATAACAGGGGCCAGTTTGTTGACAAAGGGATTAACAAGATAAGAGTGTATGGCTAGAAGTACTGTATTCTTTCCGAGTTTACAGGCCCTAACTCGGAAAGCTGCTAGAAGCACTTACACCTGATGGAGTTTTTGCGTGAGCGTCAGGCACCTATCGGAGGTCTCCCGTGATTGTCGGCTTTGGACAGCCCCCCCCCCCCCCCCCCCCCCGTAGCTGGATATTGTATTTGTCATGTGTTTTGTTTGATGGTATTGTTGTTGGAACTCCTGATGACGAACAGAGCATACTGTTTGAAACATCAAGGTAATCCCACTTCAGAACCACGCATACTCACAAAAGAGAGAGTTCTACATGGTGTTACCGCAAACCTCGCACTTATCCGCTCCGTTCACAAGTACCCCCTCACCGGCAAAGAAAGTACAGTTGGGGGGTGACCGACCGACGCCATCTTGGCTGACTGCAATTTTGCCGCGACGCGCGGCCACCACTAGCACTGCGTGTACATAGTACAACTGAATCCCCTGGTGCACGTGCGTCACACACAAGGAACGGTGTGCGTCAACCAGCGAAATGTCCCGCCCAGGGGACATCGTTGCTAGGTAAAAGAGCACCCTCTTTCGTTGGCGCACGGAGCCCATAGGGAACTAAACTTTAACGAATCTTGTCTTCGGTTTTGCCCTTCACCGATGTTTTTTAAACACTGTATACTCAGTGTGTTACCTCCCGAGTGAAAGTTGGGGAAAAAAAGGGGGCAAAACCTGATTTGATTTATATCACACCGACGCAAAATTCCATCTTATGATAGTTTATGCGGTACCCGCTGCTATGTACATCAGATTTGAACCAGCCAACCGATCCCGTTAGCTCGGTGGTCGAGTGGTAAGACATCTGCACTAGAAAGCACGAGGTCGTGGGTTCGAGTCCCACCCAAGTGATTTTTTCCAACTTTCACTCGGGAGGTAACACACTGAGTATACAGTGTTTAAAAAACGTCGGTGAAGGGCAAAACCTAATTTGATTTATATCACCTCGACGCAAAATTCCATCTTATAATAGAATCTTGTCTTGCCTTGTCTTCCCACCAGACCATTGGGGAGTATGACCTGTCCGTCTACCACTTTGAGCAAGCCATTGAGCTGGGCCTCCCAGAGACATGCTGGCCCCAGCAGCGCATCCACGCCGTGCGATGCCATCAAAAGCTGGAGCAGGCATTGGAAGCACAGCACATGTAAGTATTATCATTTTTTATTGACAGGGTCGTCAGCTTCTCTGGAAATCAGGAAAAATCTTGAAAGTAAGATTTGAGGCTTTGCATGGTGGAGATACTAAATAATGAAAGGTTTGCGGAAACACCATGTGCGAATAATTTCTCAACTAAGAAAATGGTTCTAAAAAGAACCAAAGGTATAAACTCGACATTCCGGTCAGTATGCTCTGACCATCTTCAGGAGAGTGCCTAAACTCTGAAGTGAAGTGTGAAGTTGCATCCTGTGAGGATGCCAAGTAGACAGGATCCTAGAACAAGCTACTTAAGTATTCACTTTCTTAGAGTTTAGGCACTCTCCTGAAGACGGTCAGAGCATACTGACCGGAACGTCGAGTTTATACCTCTGGTTCTTTTCAGAACCATTCTCTTAGTTGAGAAATTATTCGCACATGGTGTTTCCGCAAACCTTTCATTATTTAAAAATCTTGAAGTTTTCATTTTTCCAGTCATGGAAAACTCAGGGAATTTGGGAGAAAACGTCAACAATCAGAGAAACTTGGGGAATTTGACAGGGACGGCTATATCAACAAGTGTCTTAGTTGCTTTGTTGCAACCACCTCGTAACTTCCCAGCAACCTCATTTAAAGTGAAAATATGTCTCGCGGAATGTTGGAGATTTCTCACGGAAATATCAAGTAAAACTCAAGGAATTTCTTTGTCGTGGAGAGAGTCCGCTTGCGCGTTGACCAGAACATAAAAAGGCACATTCTGTTATAGAGAATGGACGAGGAACTGTAGATTCGTGCTAAGAATGGACAAGGCCAAGCCGAGTCCATTCATAGCACGAATCTACAGTTCCGAGTCTATTCTCTGTCATTTCTTTGTCATTGTGGACCACGTGGACACAATTTTGAGCGTCGCATAATGCAATCCGACCGTTTCGTGATTCGAGCAAGTGACGGGAATTGTAAATTTACAACACAGATAAGTTTTACAGAATTTCCTACATTAGTACGCTTTTTCAACGAGAAAAAAAAAACATCTCTAAACTGGCATAAAAGAGTAATGAATCAGTCTTAACGGCCGTTTCAAACCTTGCAGAGTCATGACCTTGATGACGCGCAGGTCACTGGTCACTCAAAATCCAACCAATCAGAGCGTGAATTCATCAGAGTATCCCAGCATCCTGTTTGCAGGGCGGGGGGTACGAGCGAATGACCATCGTTGCTTAAAAATTTATATCGCTGAAGAATAAAACCCAGTATTGTTATTGAAAAATGTCTCTGCTCGGAACATTGAACATAAATTACCCCCTGGTGTGAGTAGTGGACTCATTTAACTTTGTCTTGACAGGTCCCTGCAACGAACGCTGTCGGAGCTGCAGGACTACAAGACCAAACAGGACGAGTTTGAGCAGACTCAGAAAAAGATGAAGATTGCGCAGCGCCGGCCGGAGGACCAGTTCGAGTCTAATCTGAGCTACCACAGGCACCGGCTCATGAGGGGCATGGGTAAGGCTTGCGGCTAAAGCTACGGCTATGGCTAGGCAATTTGCACAAAGCTACGGCTATGGCTAGGCAATTTGCACAAAGCTACGGCTATGACTAAGCAATTTGCACAAAGCTAAGGCTATGGCTAGGCAATTTGCACATGCACTTATGGAGGCAGCTGAAGCCGCTTCCCATAGACACGTGTGTGTTTACCGCCAGCCGTAGCTGAATGATTTCTGCACACAAACTGCCACATGCAAACAAATACAGCCACAACAACGGCTTGCAATTACACATGCACTTATAGAAGCGGATGAAGCCATTACCCATGGAGACGTGTGTTTACTGCTAGCCATCGCCATATGAAGCACTCTTAGTGCAACACAGTGCAACACACTGCAACACACTGCAACACACTGCAACACACTGTAGCACACTGCAACACACCCAGTCGTTTTTTGCTATGCTTCCGAGGATTGGCTTTGTGTTTTCCTTTGTCCCTGTAATATAACACTCTCCCATAGACTAAGCACACAAACCTGCTTTCGAGGACAATAGGCACCTTCCTTCGAGGATCAATGGCCCCTTTGTGCTCCTTTTGCTGTCTGTCCTCAGGCGTAATGCCATGCAGGAACACTGCAACACACATGTGTGTTTACTGCTAGCCATCGCCATATGAAGCACTCTTAGAATCAAACTGCCATATGCAACACCGTGCAACACAGTGCAACACACTGCAACACAGAGCAACACACTGCAACACACTGCAACACACTGCAGCACACTGCAACACACTGCAACACACAGCAACACACTGCAACACACTGCAGCACACTGCAGCACACTGCAACACACTGCAACACACTGCAGCACACTGCAACACACTGCAGCACACACAGTCGTTTGTTGCTATGCTTCCGAGGATTGGCTTTGTGTTTTCCTTTGTCCCTGTAATATAACACTCTCCCATAGACTAAGCACACAAACCTGCGTTCGAGGACAATAGGCACCTTCCTTCGAGGATCAATGGCCCCTTTGTGCTCCTTTTGTTGTCTGTCCTCAGGCGTAATGCCATGCAGGAACACTGCAACACACATGTGTGTTTACTGCTAGCCATCGCCATACGAAGCACTCTTAGAATCTAACTGCCATGTATGCAACACAGTGCAACACAGTGCAACACAGTGCAACACAGTGCAACACAGTGCAACACACTGCAACACACTGCAACACAGTGCAACACACTGCAACACATTGCAACACACTGCAGCTGGTATAAAAGTCTGTGGGATCAAGGGCGGATCCAGAACACAATTTTTTCGGGGGGGGGAGGGGGCCCAAAAAACCCAAACGGCATTTTTGTTTTATCCTAAATGCTCTGTGGTGCGATCTGAGGCAATTTCTGACCACTTTGACCAATTATCTTTGGAGGAAAAGATGATGGTTTTCGCAGTGCTTGCCTTTGTACTGACGTCACTAAAAACAAAACAAAAATGGGTTAGTTTTTTTTTGGGGGGGGGGGGGGCATTTGCTTGCAGTCGATAACCCCCATTGTGAGGTCACAGACATTGAGGACGGCCCCCAGTTTGTCATGTGCACCCACGGCACCCCGCCTGATCTTAATATCTTATTGCGAAATATCTTTTTGCGAAAACTAACTTAACTTCTCTATCGCGTCAAATCATCCAAAGTCATTTTTTTTTTATTTGCCCGCAGTGGATAACCCCCATTGTGAGGTCACAGACATTGAGGATGGCCCCCAGTTTGTCATGTGCACCCAAGGCACCCCGCCTGATCTCAGTGTCTTCGGGATGGCCCTGGATGAAGAAGAGGTCGGTGGATAGTATTCATTTAGTACCTGATTAGCTACTATAAATAATTCAAATTAGGTTTTGCCCTTAACCGACGTTTTTAAACACTGTATACTCAGTGTGTTACCTCCCGAGTGAAAGTTGGAAAAAATCACTCGGGTGGGACTCGAATCCACGACCTCCTGCTTTCTAGTGCAGATGTCTTACCACTCGACCACCGAGCTAACGGGATCGGTTGGCCGGTTCGAATCTGATGTACATAGCAGCGGGTACCGCATAAACTATTATAAGATGGAATTTTTGCGCGTCCCACCCAAGTGATTTTTTCCAACTTTCACTCAGGAGGTAACACACTGAGTATACAGTGTTTAAAAACGTCGGTGAAGGGCAAAACCTAATTTGAATAATATCACCCCGGTGCAAAAATTCCATCTTATAATACTATAAATAACAAAAGTTGCATCTTTCATAATAAATAGCATGAAATAGTACGGTCTCAAATTTGTGACCAGCTCTACAAAAAAGGGTATTAAGTCGCACTGAGCTTTATTGTGTAATGGCCCGCTCAACATTGAGAGGGTGAACATTTTGTCAAAATGTGATTATCATTTTATGTCATGAATGTCATCTCTAATACCTACAGTTTCAGGTTTCTTTCACAGAAATGTTGATTTTGATGAACAAAGTTGAAAAAAAAACAAGCATTTTGTGTGCATTATTCTTATGTTCTACAACAAAGCCAGCTATTTCAAAGCCTGTTTTCTCAGTTGTGTAATTTGAACTCCAAGGAAGTAATTAATATGCAAATATGTCATATCTCCAGAACGGGAGGGGCTATGGAGCTCTATTATATACCAAATGAAAGCTTACGTTGTGGGCTTTCCAACCACGTATATAACTCCATTTCACTTTTTTTGCGATATAATACCATTTTTTGTGGAGCCAGTCACATTTGTCATGTGCACCCACGGCACCCCATCTGATCACAATATCTGCGGGATACACCCGAATGAAAAAACACGGGTCAGGGCTGTTCATTTCCAAATCACTTATGTTTGATTAACCCTAACCGCCCTGAATCCTTCAAAATCCTCTTTGCCAAAGTGGAGGAATTTGGAGGATTGAGGTTACATGGCAAAAGTACGTTACTGATTTCGTAGGATGCACTTTGTCAAGGTCTTGGGCCGGACCTTGTGTTGTTTTTGCTCAGCCATGCATAAATATAGGCCTGGATTATGCTTGAAATCCTCCGTACTGCTCCAGGATGTCACTGGCCAAGCCTCAACATATTGACAGTCACTGCCGCAGGATTTTATAGGATTCAGGCAGTGGTCACCCCTCCACGGACGATATTCACGATATAATGGAGGAATTTGCAGGATTGAGGCAACCTAAATTCAACATCCCTGTTGCGTATAAAAAGGACCGCAAATAGTCCTCAGACCTAATTTCATTACGCTTTGTTTACATGTGCGCTCGCGCTCTCACAGGAAAGCGCAAACAAAGCATTACGTCATTAGGTCTTAGGTCCTTTGGGATATATGCGTGGACCTATCAAAAATTTACTGTGAGTTTATTAAAATATTACGAACATCATGTACGCATCAATTTGTTTTTTAATTAAATGTAGCCGACTAGCTTATATTTGATGTAAATGTCCATAAAACCTCAGTGTTACACCTTGAATTACCACCGCATTCTTCCTTATTAATGTAACCTCTTGTGGTTATGATATTTGGTGTAACTTGAATTTATCACTGTAGGAAATAGAGGTGGTGGACACGTCTAGCATTCGCAACAACTGTCTTCAGCTCCCCAATGGGGTAAGAATTCTCAAATATATCGCAGTCGTTAGTATGTTTTATACAACACCTGAATAAATCCCCGTCATCTGATTGGTGGATCGTTGATCACATGTCATTGAATTATTCGTACCAACGCACGGCGTGCGCATGGCGCGCAGCGCACAGTGCAATGGAAGTACTAATGCACTTTGATTAGAAGTACCATTGCACTGTCACTGCACATGTTGCCGATGGTGGCACTGTGGTGTTTAAATTGACAATAAAAGTTCTAAACTTATGGAAAAGTTTTAAATTGAGAAAAATTGAATATGATAACTCTGAACTCGTCAAACTTGTAAACAATTTTTAACTTGAATAAATTGGCTATTAAAAGTCAACCAATCAGATGACGAGGATTTATTCAGGTGTTATATAAAACAAATAATGAATGTTTCACGTTTGTGCAATAGAAAGAATAATTTCATTCGGTGACAGATGAAATGTTCCATTCCACTCGGCAATTTCATCTGTCACCTCATGAAATTATTCTTTTTTTAATTTAATTTAATTTATTTGGATATTATTTCACGACTGTTCTCTTTTCGATTTTTTATCCCCCAAAAATAGATTCCGGTTATTTAATTTTGAATGCAATATTGACCACAAGAATCTGCTAATATGTTACTTTACAAATTTTGAATTACTTGTGGCCGAACAAGAATTCTGTTCACGCATGATAGGTTGGTTCCCATCCCACGATCAGTAACGATAATGTACCGACAAGGAGCCAGTCTGCTTGCAAAGTTAATCTGTTTATGCCTAAAATTTCAAGATTTTTTTTTAGAGAGTTGCAGATGCCCAAAAAAGAAAGAAAAAGGAGGTTTTGGGGTTGTGATAAAACATACAAGTTGAAAGTTTATGAGCCAGTTGGCGTCGGAGGCCGTGTTAATACACACTGGCTGTTTTTATACACAGGCACGGTTGACGGTTAAGACATCAAGTTTGCCACGACTCGCCTTTGGGTGACGTCTTAACACGCTAATCCCTTGTGCCTTTGTACACACACACAATGTCTGTGGAGGCGCATCGTGTGTTGATCTTGAACTGGCCGTTGTGTACGGCCTATTGTACAATTTACGCTCCAGTGCACACCCCGGGGTATTGAAACATGAGGTTTCGGCAAGAAATATCGTACAAATACTGTTGAAATTACCCAGTATTTGTGGCGTTTGGCTGTATATCAGAAGTTGGCTGGAAAATGTTGCTTTTTGCAAAAACTTTTGGCAAAAATAATCCCGGCGCGAAGTGGTTAAGAAAATTTTTTTAAAATTTGTTATAAAGCACGGGGAATGTAACTTTAATACCGTCTGATTTTTCCTGTAGGAGGAAAGTTGCTTTAACCTGAGCGCTGGGCTCCGACGCAGCTACACCACATTTTTCACTCGGGGCAGCGCCCCTCCGCTCCCCTGGAACAGAGTGGACTGGCCCAGCGACGCGGACTGCCAGAATGTGCCGCACGAGCTGCCTGACTGGAGTAAATACGCACCAACACACTTTCCACCAGAAAACAAAGGACTCAGGTAATTAATGTATTTTTGTGTGGGGGGAATATCGTGCATTCATTTTTATGGAGCTTCTAAGCAAAGAAATTTTGCTAAACAAATTGTATGGACCTCTTGATCTTAACCACCAATAGGTAACGGGAAATGTTAAAGAGCTTTGACATGTTTGAAATTTGCACCTGTGTCACGTATCCCTGTCCTATGTGACGTCAGGACTTTGCGTGTTCTTCCAGGGCCCAATTTCATAGCGCTGCTTAACAGCTGACTTTGTGCTTACCGAGCCTCCATCTATTTCATAGGGACCGTTAAGCAGTAAGCACAGCAAAAGCACGCTTAACCCCAGAAGAAAACTTTGCTTAAATCAGTGACGTAACAATAGAAATCTCCATGCGCGCGCAACCGTTAGCATGAAATAGTGCTTAAGCAGCAGCATGATTTTCTGCTATAGTAAGCACAACTTTTCTGCTTACTGTTAAGCAGTGCTATGAAATTGGGCCCTGTATGTGATATGCGAAAATGACATGGGAAGTGCGTGTGGAAGCCAATCAACACTGGATAAAGAATGTATCCATTTCTGTCTTTTCGTGCAAAATTTCTTAATTTTATGATGTACCAGACATGTTGGATTGCAAATGGAAGCGCTCAGTTCCGTGGTACATGGGTTGGAATCCTGACGGGGAACATGGTCGCTTGTGCTCTTGAGCAAGGCACTTCACCATTATTGCTTCGTCCTTCCGATGGGACGTAAAGCCGTAGGTCCCGTGTGTTGTCTAATGCACGATAAAGAACCGAGTAACACTTGTCGCTAAGAGAAGGGGTTTGCCCCGGTGTTTCTGGCAGTGGCTGCAATATGCGCCGCAGCACCTTGTATACCCTTTATAAAGGTGCTACATAATGGGTCTCATATTTCTTATAAACTTCATTTACCTGTCTTTAAAAATAGACATAATTACCAGCGCCGTGAGTACCTAATTGTTCCGTGCGCTATAGAAGACTCCAGTAGTAGTATTATTAAAGGAAATATACATCATTTGCTTTTGCTGTAATTTTCAGAAATGGATGAAATTTGGGGGTTTGTAATATATAGCAAATATTGTTACACTGACTTTTTTGAAGTTTTGGGTTCGAAAATGCCGACCAGCATTGGAAATTGATACAAAAATACCACTTTTCTGAAAATGACAGTATACCAGGTGCCATGATTTTACAGGATGCTTTACACTGTCAATCACTAACAGTCCAGCAAGGTGTTTCAAAATAATTTGGTAGTTTATTTTTTGATGTTTGCAAATGTTGTATTTTCCCTTTAAGTCTGGAAATATCACAGAAGAGAAAGAAACCTGGGCCCAATTTTGTGGAGACGCTTAGAAGAGATTATTGCAACTTCAAATTTTTCCTTTTTAGCACAAATGAACAGGGGACCAGTCACAGGGAATGTACATTAAATTGAATTTGAACTGGTAAACCGGGCCCTATTTCACAGAGGGCTAAGCAGGAAATAGTGTACATTGTGTGGCATTTCCGCTGGTAACCTGCATTTTTGTGTGTGCTTAGACAGATTCATGAAATTGGCAATCGTTTTTGCTTAATATTACAAATCAGCAGAGTACCAGTTACAAACTATATATTGTGTGTAATTTTACCTGGTAACCCACAATTTTCTCCGCTAAGCAGATCCAAATTTACCTTCTTGTTCTGATTCGATTTATTTAATTGTTTATTCATTTGCTCTTTTTTGGGGGGTAGAGTTTCCCATCTAGTCAACGAGAACCTGAACCTCTTCAAGGATGACATCCACCCGTTGCCATGGTTCCCGCCCGTCTGCGTGACCGTGGAAGAGTTGAAGGACGGCAGCACGGCCATGGACTACGTCGACAGCATTACCAAGAGGGGGGAGATACCCTTGACGGATACTATCAAGAGTTTGAGCCCGGTGAGTGAAACATAAGATGATATAAAGCTGCATCGAAACTACTTGGTTATGACTTTTCAAAGCACGTGTCTATGAGGTGCGGCCTAAATCGGTTTCCCATGTATGGCACTGCCCACTGGGGGTTTTGTAGCCTCATTTGGCTCATAAATTCTTGACTTTTTTTTTTCATTTCATTTCAGAAACATTTATTTCCACATGAATAAGCACTTTAGAAAACAAAACAATTGTTACATGAAAACTACTAAGTGGAGGCATTACACAAGAAGCCGAAGCTTATAAACGGAATGCCTTAAACACACACAAAAATATATATATAAACAATACTGAAAAAGGAAGACTAAATTCAAAAGACAAAACACAACAAAACAAAACAATGAAACAGACAGACAAACAAACGGAGTGGACATAAACTTAATAAATTTTACAGACGGACATACGAAACATACTAGTGATACAACAACACAGTTTATAAAATGGATGATGCAAGCAAAAGAAAGCACAATTAAAGCGAATGGTATGAATGTAGAAAAACCAAAAAAAGACAAAGCAAACTATGCTATATACTGAGAGATAAGATGGTTCTTGAAAGTGGTTTTAAATCGGCCAACAGAGGACTGCGATTTCATAGACTTTGGAAATTGTGTTTCAATATTGATCCGTTTTCTCCACCTTGTTCAATTCTGCACACAGCAACTGCTGGCCTACGTCAACAGTGACCAGGCCAGTGAAGAGGAATTGTCCCAGCGAGTCCTGACTGCGTTTGAAGAACCCAAGGTGAGTTCAGCGCTTGTTTTCTGTCTGTCAACTTTCTTGAGTTCACTGAAAAGGTCACTTCCAAAGAATGAGAGAAAATGATGTCCTCAGAACAGCCAACAAATGCCAAAAAAAGCAAGTACCCCTTCCCATCCCTATGCTTATGGCAACATGGTGCTTGTGTTCTTGGGCAAGACACTTTACTACAATTGCCTCTCTCCACCTAGGAGTTTAAATGAGTACCTGTGAGGGAAGAGACCAGGGCCCAATTTCTTGGCTCAGCTTACTGTTAGCGAAAAATCCCTGCTTACTATAGCAGAAAATTCAGTGCTTACTATATGAAGTGTATTTCACAGAGAAGCGAGGAATTTTGGCTTAGGCCAACAAAAAAAAGGCTCCGGTTTCTGGTATGGAGCTTGCCCAGAAAGTGGTGTGGCAACGCGGCTTTTTTTTTTTTTTTACCTGATTTTTTTGCTTCAAATGTCGGCTGATGACTGCAAATGATGCCCGACTAAACTTAGTGCAAATATATTGGAGTCCAGAGAGGCCACATAAAGCTTATTCTCGACCATAACCCAATCTAAAAACACGTTAAAATTGTGCTGCAGCAGGATACCAGTCAAACCAGTGAGTTTGGCGGTTTTGAGACATCATCTCTCATTGAAAAAAAGCCTTTTTCATTTTGCCGACGCGCATGGCTACGGCGACGTGCGCGCGCATACCAGAAACCGGAGACTTTTTTTTTTGGCCTTATGTGTACATCTCGTAACTAAGGATTCTGTGCTTACAGGGTTAGCACATAATTTTTCTGCTAGCGCAGTTAGCACAAAATGGCGATCGTTAGCGCAGAATTCTGTGGTTAGCAGAGCCATGAAATTGGGCCCAGATTCCGCTGATCGTGAGCTGCTGCAGAAAAGTGGTCCTATGGCCTGATGACCAAGGGTAATAGTTGCAAAGCACTTTTATGACTTTGATGTGAAAGAACGCTATAATGAGCAACACATTTTTATTATTTGTATTATCATGAGTTTTAAACCCCCTGTTTGTCTCCCCATATTTATACAAATGGCATATTTTGCCAATATACGACAGGACTATACATGTAGTTTAAATAACTACACAGGGTATTTGGTACTAGTCCTGTCTTCGCTTTGAACAAGGCTTTACTCATTAACCCTAACCCCCTAGTCCCTTTTTGCTAAGCACCATCCTCAGTCCTCCAAAATCCTCCAAAATTTTTCAACTCCGCCTAAATTTTTCAAAATTGTCAGACAGTCCTGCCTCAAAATGCATTCATCGTCAATCCTCCAAAATCCTCCTCAACCCAAAATTTTGCACTTGTGTTTAAATGAAGGATAACCAACGCCAAATCCTTCAAAATCATCCGACAGTCCTGCCTCAAAATGCATTCATCCTCAATCCTCCAAAATCCTCTTGTGCTTCAATCACCATTCATCCTCAATCCTCCAAAATCCTCATGTGCTTCAATCACCATTCATCCTCAATCCTCCAGAAACCTCATTTGATTCAATCACCATTCATCCTCAATCCTCTAGAATCCTCCAAAACCGCCAGGAGGATTTTGGAGGAGTGAGGTGGGTTAGGGTTAAGTCCATTCCCAGGTAGCTTACCAACGTTCCTACGTGACATTAACATTGCCACCACCCATCTCCTTCTTTGTAGAATGCCAATGAGAAATGGCTGATATTCAACCTGGCCGGTTTCTACTGGCTCATGATCGGTAACAACTACCACGGCATCGAGTGCCTGCGCCGAGCGTTGCACCGCGCTCCCGTGGAATACGCCGACGTGCCATTGGTCAACGCAGCTAGCGTCTTGCTCAACGCCAGGCGGGCAGAAGACGCCGTGCAGTTGCTACGGATGGCTCTGGTCGTCAACAGCACGGAGGTTGGAAATTTCTCTTCTTACAGTCTTGAATTTGCTCAGTTCCTTGAAAATCTACCGGGAGGTTTAAGTAGGGTATTTACTTCCAAGTAGGTTTGATGGGCACTGCTATTATGAATGGGAGATAAGGCATAGTGTTATTGGCTTTCTGCACAGTGCAAGATTTGGGAGTTTATTTGAAAAATGCCAAGGAAGTTGGTGTTAAAGGGAATATACAACATTTGCTTTTGCCGAAATTTTCAGAATGGAAGGTTTTGGGGGTTAGTGGTTCAAAGCAAATATTGTTTCGCTGACTTTTTTGAAGTTTTGTGTTCGTAGATGGTGGAAAAACCAAGGAAAACAATCATTTTTCCGTAGTCTGGTTCCCTTACCCCACTTAAGATGAAATGGAGCAATTGCAAGGCACCAGGGAATTGTAAGGTCAGGGAACCAGTCTAGCTGGCTTGCACCTGTTCCCGGACGTGTAACGAGCTGCAAACAAAATGTGGACTTGGTAGATTAGGGACAGTAGTTGGAAGAAAAGTCAGGTTTTTCCAGCGCTGATCATCCGACCAGTGTTGGAAATTGATACAAAAATACCACTTTTCTGAAAATGACAGTACACCAGGTGCCATAAAACGTTTTTGGCAAAATATTACTTCGGAACACGACGATCTCTTCAATTTTGCTGGTACCCCTCTATGCTTTTGCACGCATACGTTGAAATGTTTATCTCAAAAGAAAAATCGTCAAATCTTGATGTGCATATTCGCAGTTGGAATAGTTATCAGACATGCAACTTTTCCTTGAAACAGCTGATTTCCTCGTTTTTCACTTCACGCTTATGCCATTAAAAATTGAAAAACTCTGTATAAAGTTTTTGGGTAAACTCAGTGTGTGAATATTTATGTGATAATTATAACTGTTGATTTCCTAAGGCCAAAAAAAAAAAGTCTCTGGTTTCTGGTATGGAGCTTGCCCAAAAAGTGGTGCGGCGACGCGGCTTTTTTTTTTTTTTTACCTGTCTTTTTTGCTTCAAATGTCGGCTGATAACCGCAAATGGTGCCCAACTAAACTTAGTGCAAATATATGGGAGTCCGGAGAGGCCACATAAAGCTTATTCTCGATCATAACCCCATCTAAAAACACGTTGAAATTGTGCAGCAGCAGGATTCCAGTCAAACCAGTGAGTTTGGCGGTTTTAAGACATCATCTTTTATTGAAAAAAAAAAAATTCATTTTGCCGACGCGCATGGCTACGGCGACGCGCACGCATACCAGAAACCGGAGACTTTTTTTTGTTGGCCTAACAGACATTTTGTTGCTATTTCTTCCCCTCAGCCAATCACACACTTCGTCTTGGCCAATGCCCTGGCGGCCAGCGGCAACCTGGACGCCGCTGCAAACGAGTTTGCCGTGGCTCTGACCTTTAACCCCAAGGATCAATATCTCAACACCTTGAAGCAGCTCAAGTGTTTCCAGAAACAGGAGGTAAGTTGTCAGGGGCAGTAACTTTGCCGTTTGGAAAGATTCAGTTAAGATCTGACAACTGGGCCCTCTTCTTACTTGTTTCAGACAGGTGGCGACTTGTGACTCAGCGATGAAACTTTTCCGATATTAATTGGAAAAACGACTTTTTGATTATTTCAAATTTTCTACAATTTGTCACACAAAATTTTATTTTTTTAACGATTCTTCCACAATATGTGATTTTATTTAAATGATAATTTTGGAGAAGAGTCAATGAAAAAGTCAATGAAAATGGCACTTAAAGATTATCGCAAGCGTAGTTTAAATCTCTTTCACCAGTCGTAAATGGAGTGTTTCTATGGGTAGAAACACTTAGGCCAACATTTTTCTCATTGTAAAATTTACAGGAGGCGGTGTCCTGAAATTGGGCATGAAGTGTATTGTACATGTATGTGAGAGTATCGTGGACTAGGGACAAAAGAGTTAGGGCACAAACAATGGGTCCACGATTGACGGAAAGTCCATGATTGAAATTCGTGTACAGAACCAATGAGAGCTGTAGCTAAAAAGTTATGTCAAAGGAATGAGGATAAGGGACAATGGGGGGTGCACAATTGCCGGTGTTTATGAAGATGTGTGTACATGTATGATGTACATGTGATCTGATACACTGTGCCCTCTGGAGACGTGTGTTCACTAGGGAACAAAAGATTGTATACGTCTGCACAGGGCAATTTCTATAGATGAATACGTCTCCACAAGGTTTTCACGAAATAGATATATGGATTTTACTAAATAACTAGGAGTTTCCAAGGTGGGTTGATCTTTCGCACATGGAAGAGTTTTAGAATATTAAGGAATATTAAGTCCAAATTTCAGTCAAAATTTCAGCCAAGCAAATTAATTCTGGTTAAAATAAGAGCATTTTGAAACTTCACTTTCAAACTCGAAAAACTTTACTACACGAGAACAAAGAAATGTCTCCACAAGGATACATATTTCAGTATGGGTGTAACTGCAGCGTGACCCGGATTTACGACACGTATTTTTGTTTGGCCTATTTTCCGATTCTTTTTCCAATATGCCAGTTTCATCTCTGGTGACTGTTTTTCTTGCTTTGGGTCACATACAGGAACTGACAGCCCGGCAGGCTCATGACGAGGAGGTCGATGCCAAAGGTCAAAGGTTACAGCAACGCCAGAGTCGCACGGTGTGCTCCCAGGGTAGCAAAGGGGAGAGGCAGTGCCAGACTGAGACCCGCACCAGGGAGTTTGTGCCGCGGGAGACGGGGGACTACTCCAAGGGGGAGGACAAACGGGGAGAGAAACCCCGCAAGGCAGCAGGTGAGACAACAGTGGTTCCAACTCCCTGTGCGTAGTAGTCAACTGTTAACCAAAACTAGTAATAGTATACACATATTGAGTGGCTCAGAGTGAAATGGGAGGAATATTATCGCAAGGTAAAATCTGGACTTTTCTATTTCACGAGGCGAAGTCGAGTGAACTGGAAAAGTCCAGATTTTACCGAGCGATAATATTCCTCCCATTTCACAATTTAAAGCTACTCAATATTTGTTTTATATAACTGACATATAGATCCTTATCATTTGATATGTTTGAACTTTTATTTCAATACAAAATTGGTGGAAAATGTATTACTCTCTTCCAAACCACCCCTTCACAAAAATGTTTGAACTCAACTCTGTAGCCCTCTGCTCTTTGGAACAATACGCGCTACGCGCAACGCTGAACGCGCACACCAGCATGCATTTGCACACAAATACCGCGCCATGGAACAAGAACGATCCTAACTGTTCAATAGTATTTCCTATTCCCCATGGGCGAATGGGACATTTTGAGCCCCGGTATGAATCGGAGTAATAATGAATGTCACGTGATGTGAGTTCCACCAATCAAATGACAAGAATCTGTATGTCAGTTATATAATTACAAATAACAAATTTTATTTAAAGGTGGAGTATGTCATTTGCAGCTATTCAAAAAGTAACTGACGAAATTATTGTTGAAAAGCTTACTTGGTTTAAAGATAGTAAGGGAACTAAACTCCCTGTGAAATTATTCTTTCTGGCATGCTGTCATTTTGAAGAAAACAATAAAAGAAGGTCATTTCCAAAGATGCGTCTAAAGATGCATTTTTGGAAATTTCTGTTAGTAGTTCATTTTAAATTCGGCGAAGCTGGAATGGGTGCGCGCAAGCGTTGACATGACGCACACACACGTGCGGTTGATATAATTCGTCGGTTCAGTGCGTGACATCACGTAGCTGCAATCGGCTGAATGAGAATGTGTCGCAAAAAAATGCTGATTTCGGGCACAATTCAAAACATGACTCAGCAACCTTTTAATTGAAATCAAGATCCTAGAATGTTGTTTTCTCAGAATACACAGCATTTACAATGAGCTAAAACTTCTTCAGGTTAGTTGTTAAGCACCCTTGTTTAGATTTTGAGCACTTTTGTTGCTTCAAACAAAAGTATACACAAATGACAAATGATGTACTCTACCTTTAAATACTTACTGCCGAAAGTGATGAATTATTAAAAATATAACATGAAATTTATTTTTCTTGTAACTATTTTTTTATCGGTATATTTTGATAGAACAATAAACTACTTTATTCTGATTTTGGGCATCTGCAACCCTCTGGAAAAATGGCTTTCATTTGTCGCACGAATGAACCCGCCCTGGAGGAGCCGATTTGTTGTGTGGCAGCCAATAACTCAAATTTTATGAAGAAATAATTCAATAACTAAACTTTGGTGCATTTTTGTCGTTCGATGTCTCATCCAAAAGTGAATAACTTATATATTGCTATCAAAATAGCAATTGAAAAAAAATAATCTATTTTTAGAGGTGAAACTCAAAAACAGCACAGGGAACTCATCTTTAAAAAATCTCAGATGACTGGATCCCACGAAATGAGTCTTAATGAACATTTTTCACTGTTCTCATGCATTAGGAAGCGCATAATTTTTGCCCTCATTTTGAAAAATCACTCAGTTTTACATCTTAAAAAAATCCTTTTTTCAAGGAACTCCACTGCATAACTCCCCAAGTCAAGACGGAGACGAGGGTGAAAGCTTTGTTAGCGTTGACATGGTAACGCATCCACCAGGGATCAATGTCGACCAGTCACAGGTGGTCAATTTAGAGACTACACTACAGCCTGGTTCCGTGGTGAGTTGAACTCGGGATTTGTCACTCATGTTTATTTTGACTCTTCCCATTGCAAGCTGATAAATGACTTGTTGGATCCCAAAAGTACTTCATAAGTCTAGTCATAAGTAAATCACAGATCAGTTCACAAATCCAGTCATAAATAAATGAATGCCAAATCACAGTTTGTTTGAACAGCTTAGTCGGGACTGGGAACTGAATGACCTTTGAATGACTTGTGATTGACTATAGTGATTGACTTGTGATTGACTAGCGATTGACTTGCGATTGACTAGCGATGGACTTGCAATTGACTTGTGATTGACTAGTGATTGACTTGTGGTTGACTTGCGACTGACTTGGGATTGACTAGTGATTGACTTGTGATTGACTTGTGACTGACTTGTGACTGACTTGTGATTGACTTGTGATTGGCTTGTGATTGACTTGTGATTGACTAGTGATAAGCTTGTGATTGACCTGTGGTTGACTTGTGGTTGACTTGTGATTGACTTGTGATTAACTTGCGACTGACTTGCGATTGACTTGTGATTGTTTTGTGATTGACTTGTGGTTGACTAATGATTGACTTGTGATGGGCTTGTGATTGACTTGTGAGCACTTGAACTGGACTTGACTACAAGACTGAAACGTCTCAATTAAAGAGCATTTTTTTCATGGAAAAGATTAATTATAAAGAGCAGTTTGTACTTTTTGTGGTTGTCAGTTAAAACTGAATTTCAAGGATGGAGAGCTTCAGGACAGTGAGTTAGTACCGCCCCCTGCGTCAGGTCCCAACATCCCTGCCGCTAAACCCTCGCCCACTGTGGGTAAGTCCAAACATTGCTTCCCTCCACAAAAGGAGAAGTGATTGGGAGTGTGATCAACCGTCAAAGTTGCTTTCCCCATGCTTTTCTTATTGCATAGCATAACTATTCTCTTGTTGCCGTGCGTATTTCCTCCTCCCGTCTGCTTTTTTTCTCTTCTTCTTTTTGCCTGTTAGGCAGGTCCACTTAACTTCATTTACACTCTGCAGAGAATTCAGATGATTGTTCTAGTCTTCGTTTCTTGTCTGTCCATTCATGTTTGTTATGTTTGTTTTCTCATGGCATGGCAATATAAGCCTTTGGCTTCTGCACATGCCACCATATGTGATGCGATCAAGCTACATGAGTCGTTTGTCGGGAATTTTCATTTGGAGATTCAGGCCAAAATAGAGCCACTTCATCACATCACTGCATCACATCTCTTGGTGTTCCAACTTCCATAATTTTTTAACTAAAGATGGTATCAGCATGCAGTTTTCACAGCAGTAATGCTGAGATTGTGCTCTTTTCAAATCTGTAATAAAAAAAAATTGACCAGGGTCGACAAACGACTCATGTAGCTTGATCGCATCACAGTTATTCTTGTCTTCGTTTCTTGTCTGTCCATTCATGTTTGTTATGCTTGTGTTGTCATGGCATGGCAATATCTTCACTTCTATACATGCCACCATATTGCTGCTTTAGTAATTAATTTTTTCGTAAACGAGTCTTTGATTTGTGAATTATTTACGTTACTTGTTGGTTAATTTAATACTTTTTGCTCCGTTCCCCCGTTACCTTATCCTCATTTTAATTATATTTTATTAATTATCTTTTATGCTCCTTATTTAGTTTCTCATTAATGTTATTTATGCATAGACTCATTGTTTGTTTTGTATAATTCTCAGTAATATTGAAATAAATGTGTGTATGAATGAATGAATGAAACTTCTATCTTGAAAAAAAAAAAATTTTTTTAAATTGTCATAACTCTAGTAATGGGCTCTGTGCACCAACAAAGAGGGCGCCTTTTTACCACTTTTAAGAGGCCCGTGGACGGGGCACACAGCGTGTGCGTACTGTGCTGAACTGGTTCACGCGAAGTACGCACGACTTCCTGAGTGTGCCAAAGCTATTAGCCACAGCATGTTCGTGCGAGCGTCAGGCATCATCCGCGCGGGAATACGTTCGAATTTAACTTGCGATGGTCTCCCAGGCTAATCCCGCCCCCAATAACTTTGGATCATTCGAAATACGCAGTGGATGGATTGGGAACCAGTCTAGGTCGCCCCCAACTCTCCTTTTCTGGCCGTTGAGGGGGTACTTGTACATGGAGCCCATAGGCAAGTTATTCACTATTGAGTTAGACTTGCATTAGTCTCACCTTCACCCAAAAATTGGTCTGGGACCAGTTTTACTAGACTTGCCTAAGCCACAAATTTCAGGCTTGACGCAGGCTTGACGCAGGCTTGAAAACATGCATCATTTCACATTTGAAGAATTTCAACCCTGCGTCAACCCTGCGTCAACCCTGCGTCAACCCTGCGTCAACCCTGCGTCAACCCTGCGTCAACCCTGCGTCAACCCCGAGATTGATTTCAACCCAGGTTGAACTCAACCCTCTTCCAGACCAGGTTTGAGATTTTCAACCCGGGTTGAAAATCTTGCCAGGGTTCAAAACAGTAGTGACTGAGCATGATAAGCTTGATTTGCATGAAACAAGTGTGAAATGATGCAGGGTTGAATGCGTGGTTGAGAAATCAAAAACTCAACCCGGGGCGGCACTGGGTTTGCCCAGGGTTGAGTTCAACCCGGGTTGAGAGGCTCTAGTGTGAAAACGGCTCTAGTCTTGTATCTTTGTTGTTTATTGTTTGTTTGGTAGATGTGAGTGACCTGAATAACTTGACAAGGCTGCCCTGGCCCACGCTGCACGATTGCCAGATGTACAAGAAGGTCAACTTGAACATGTTCTACACCACCTGGGTCTCGGTTACCGCCAAAAATGTCAAGTATGTGCTCTAGTCGGTTTTCTATGTCATTTCAGAAATGAAGGAACATTGGTTATTATCCACAAACACACCTACCGATTTAATGAAGGGTGGGGTTTTTTTTTTTTGGGGGGGGGGGGTTGGGATTGTTTTAGCAGATAATGCCAAGAAAAGGCAGAAAGTTCCTGGAGTCCTTGACACTGTAAATAAGACTAGGAGAGTGAAATGAGAGCGAGCTTGTTGATGAAGCTCTTGAAAGACTGGGGGTTTTAGGATGATGGGAAGCATGATTGTGGTAGAAAGTTCCACGATTGGGATGTGCGGACAATGAAGGATGATGAGTGGGATACAGTGGGGTACCTACAGTCCCGGCCAAATCTCGCTGGGCCACCCTCCCCTGGTCCCCGGTCAATGTTGTCTCTCATTGCGCCGTCTGTGTTCCAGCTGGAGATAACAACTTTAACAGGGGGAGAAGGGGACTGGGGGAGGGTATGCTTGTTGTCAGGGGGTCCCGACCATTTTGGCCGGGATTTTTGGCTGTTTCGGAAGACATATTTTGAAGGCCTATATCTACAGAACTACAGGTCCGATTGGGTTGTAAGTAGGTATGTACCTAAACCGGGATGTGATATAAATGAAGTGGAAAAAGATGTGAACTTGCTTTCAATGATGTCAGTCTCTGGCTGGGTTGTACTTAAAAAAACCAAAAATTACCAGTGACATCATAAAATGTTAGAGCACCCACTAGCAGCAGGTTGCAAAATGTCACATGTCACAAAAAAGTTGCCAAAACAGCATTGCGTTTGTCCACAAACATAAGTCTAGTTTCATTCCATTTTTTTCTTTTTTTTAACTTCTAGTAGTGAAACCAAGGATTCCCCAAATAGCGCCCTGGGCACTGTCAGCTCAAAGGCATGAAGAATCCAGTAGAGAGAAGTGAATGAGAAGAAATTACAGTTTTAGAGGTGGGAGGAAAAACACAGAAGAATATTCTGGGGAAAACCCACAGAATCAGGTAGGGACTGAAAATCTTAATCCACATGTTGGCCCAGGCGGGATTCGAACCTGGGTCACAGCAGTGGAAAGCGAGGAAAGTACCGCTACACCAACCTGACTGCCCTTGTAGGTATAAGCCTTTTCGGCGTTCCAACTGCGCATTCGTAACCTGTGACAACGTGCATTGTTTGTCTCAAATGGCCTTTGACATCATCGCGCCACTGACTTTACAAAAAGGCTGTTTGTGCATTGTGGGTACTGTCAAAGGGCATTTGAGACAAACAATGTGCGTTGTCACAGGTTACGAAAGCGTGCAGTTGGAACTCCGAAAAGGCTTATTGGACTGTGAAAGGGTGAGCATTGGTGGCTGATCTCGTAGAACAACCATGTGTGTGTGTGCGCTGCAGTGTCTTAAGGGTCTTTATAAATTGTTGGTTTTGTCAGAATCGAGGAGCACATAGATTTCCAAGCCAAGCTACCCAGCAAGTCGCTGGAACCGGTCTGCGAGGCAGATGTCGGAACCAGCATGCACACCCTAGACCACCTTGAGGGCATGGCGGGACGGGAGGAGCTGCAGTACACAGCGGAGCAGGGACTGGACGAGGCGCTGGAGTTTATGAGATCAGAAGATAAGCCCATGTCTATCACGGTGGCAGGGAAGAGGATCGCACTGGCACTTCGGAAAGTAAGCTTTATTTGCTAACCGTTTAAGGACACCCTGGCAGTGGGGGTTAGGGTGTTGAGGAAGGGGGGGGGGCATACAGATGAGCAAGGATTGGACGATCGAGCGTGGAACTTTCTGCCATCGAAAGACTTACCCATGTCTATCATGCTGGCAGGGAAGAGGATCGCTCTGGTACTTCGGAAAGTGAGTTCCATTAGATAATCCTGACATTGTACTCTGAATGTGCTCCAAGCCATAGTGTCTTCGTGTGAGCGTCAGGCATCGTCAGCAATGCATTTGAATGTCTCTCCCGATGGTCTCCCCCAACTCTTCCTTCCTTACTGTTGAGGGAGTACTTGTGCACGGAGCCCTTTCACCCAGGCATGCAATTGTTCCCCGAATCGGCTGATTTCCTTGTTTTTTTACTTCTCATGAATGTCATTACAAATTGAAAAACACTGCACAAAGTCTATGTACAAGGTCGCCAGTAACAATATACCTTCCTCCATTAAAAGTATTTTTTCTCGGAATCTCGAAATTCATTCTTACTTTACTCGTCAAGCCTCTAATTTTCACATTCCATACACCCGTACTTCTTTTGCCCACAAAACGGTTAAACACGAGGGACCCATGCTTTGGAATTCATTTCCTGATAAACTTAAAGCCTCTAAAAACATTTCGACCTTTAAACATATTTACAAATCTATTTTGTTAGAAGCTTATAGCTGAATCTCTGCAATGCAATTGTTCATTTAAATCCAGTTAGCGAGCCTACATTGTATATAGCCCATGCCCTTAGGTACTTGTCTGTTTTTGTTTGTTCACATCTGTAAGTTAAACTTAGCTTTTGTAAGCAACATGTGCACTGAGCCCTGTTGGTATTTTTGTCTCCCGATCTCGTGCCCTCTCTTTTATCTTCTTTCCGTAGGCTCAATGCACGTGTTTGCTTTATATAGGGACCATTGCTTACAAGCTTTGCTTCTTAATGGATCCCTCTGCAGTATCACTTGTTCGTTAATTGCATCTTTATATATCCATTTATTTATTTATTTATATATTACTTTCTATGATTAACTTTTGTTGGATTAATACTGTGGAAGTAAATAAACCTGAAACCTGAACCTGAACCTGTGTGGTTTGGAATGTCCTCGTTTCTTCTAAATCCCCAGTTGCATGCCAGTTCACTGTGTCTTGTGTCCTATGTGTTTGTTTTAAAATTTGCCACACCTTTGTTTCTTGTTTCAGAATTCAACATCATGGGTACTGACTAATCTGGCGGCCGTGTATTGGCGACGGGCTGGGAACGCAGTGAACGCCCTGAACTGCCTCCGGGTGGCGCTTCACTACTCAGACTACAAAGTCAAGGTTTGTTATTAGTATTAATATATTATAGGTTTTCCCGGCCAATTTCCTGAAATGTTCATTCACTTCTGAAAATCGGTCATTCGTTTTCGTCTGAATATGAATGCACGTCTTTAATCCCATTTCAATTCTACGAAAGTTCAATCGTTTTCATTGTCCGTGCATTCGGTTTTGAAGATCAGACGGCCAGTTACGTTGTGCATTCATTTACGCAAGCATACCTTTTCACGCAAACCTCTGAAATACAATTTTGTAAATGTGCAATCAAAACTACGTTTTTCTCATTCAAAATAGCAGATAACATCACAGAACATTAAACTAAAAGTGAAATAGAATGGCAATGTTTGAAGTCGCTCTCTAAAAGCGAAAAAGAAGTCTTGTAAACGAATCTGAATGAACATAAACGAGAGGTGCTGCTCAATCACTTAATTGATTGAACTGAAATGGAATCGAATGCTCTTCTAGCGAAAATGAAAGGCGTGTTCAGAGCGATTCTCAAATTCAGACGAAAATGAATGACCGATTTGAATGAACATTTTAGGAAATTGGCTGGGAAAACCTATGTTTCTGGTAATTAAACCAAGGATTCCTGAAAAGAGCTGAAAAGTGATTGTGTTTGATTTTGGTAATTGCTGGTCCCAGAGGGCCAGCCTAGTGTCCTCTTTGTACCTGACTGACTGACTGACTGACTGGCTATAGGCTGGTGAAAAGAGCCGGGCAGTGCTGTCGTATAGGATAACCCCTAATTGCCAATGAACTGGCTAAATTCGGCCCACTGTGTAGACCAGATCAATGAAAAGATGAGTGAATAGCCCTCACTAAATCAATTGAATACATTTTCAAAAGTTGAACAAAGACATTGACTGGAGCAGGGTTTGAACCTGCGTCCTCCGTATTGCCGTTCCAGCACTCTACCAACTGAGCTCCCCAACTCTATGTTGGCGGTTCCCCATTTTGTCAATGTGTTTGTTCAAGAGATGCCAGTCAGAAGCCATAAACGCGCAAGTGCCATGTAGCTACGGATCACGCCCAAAGTCACAATGTTAGCAACATTAGCAATGCTATAAACCCGGGAAATTGCAAACTCAGAGAAGATATACATGTAGCTTTTTATTACATGTGCTGTGGTGCTTGTCTAAACCAAGAGTTGGTTTTTTTTACTAGGATCTTGCCCTGATCAGCATCGCCAATATCTTCCACCGCTCCGGCATGATTGACAACGGCATCACAGTGGCTCAGATGGCCTGGGAGATCTCCAGCGAGTTTGTGCTCTGCCACTTCACGCTGGCAAACCTCTACGCTGCCAAGGTGAGCGGATTCACCCAGGGTTTCCATATGCATGGTCATGGAAAAATCCTGGAAAATCCCGGAATTTAAAGCTATTATGGAAAGTCGTGGAAAAGGCATGGGGATTTTGTTATTTTACAAGGAATCGTGGAAAATTTGTGTTCCAAGAAAAATCATGAAATGATGCCTACTGGTGATTGGTCATGGAAAAATCCTGGAAAATCCCGGAATTTAAAGCTATCATGGAAAAGTCATGGTAAAGGCATGGGGATTTTGTTATTTTACAAGGAATCATGGAGAATGTGTGTTCCAAGAAAAATCATGAAATTATGAGATGATGCCTACTGGTGATTGGTCATGGAAAAATCCTGGAAAATCCGAGAATTTAAAGCTATCATGGAAATCTCATGGAATTGTACAAGGAGTCATGGAAAATGTGTGTCCCAAGAAAAATCATGGAATGATGAGATGATGCCTATTGGTGATGGCAGGCTTCCAGATGGCATTCCAGTTTACTATACTTCCTCTTTATTTATGTATGCTCTGTACTTGTTGCTTGTTCAATGCACCATTGTGATGCTTTTGGGGTGCTGGGTGGTCTTGTGCCAAACTGTCTCGAAGCTATGGCCCAAGGCCGAAGCTATGGCCCAAGGCCGAAACTCGCTTTAAACGAGAGACAGTGCAATGCTTCCCAAGGGGATATACAAAAAAATGCACATAATCATGAGATAAGACGACCCTTAGACTGATCTTAAGTTAAAACAAGTTCAGCGGCATTGCTAAGAAAGTTAAGATGCATTGAATACATCTTAAGCTAGTTGAAATCGATCCCAGGATGGTTCCCGAGTTAAGACAACTTACCCTTCCTAAGACTTGTTGAATGTTTCGTGAAACGGGCCACTGGTTTCCTGTTTTGTCATAGGCCGAAACTTGCTTTAAACGAGAAGACAGAGCAATGCTTCCTCAGGGGATATACAAAATAATGCACATAATCATGAGATAAGACGACCCTTAGACCGATCTCAAGTTAAGACAAGTTCAGCAGCATTGCTAAGAAAGTTAAGATGCATTGAATACATCTTAAGTTAGGTGAAATCGATCCCAGGATGGTTCCCGAGTTAAGACAAGTTACCCTTCCTAAGACGCGTTTGAATGTTTCGTGAAACGGGCCACTGGTTTCCTGTTTTGTCATAGGCCGAAACTTGCTTTAAACGAGAAGACAGAGCAATGCTTCCTCAGGGGATATACAAAATAATGCACATAATCATGAGATAAGACGACCCTTAGACCGATCTCAAGTTAAGACAAGTTCAGCAGCATTGCTAAGAAAGTTAAGATGCATTGAATACATCTTAAGTTAGGTGAAATCGATCCCAGGATGGTTCCCGAGTTAAGACAAGTTACCCTTCCTAAGACGCGTTTCAATGTTTCGTGAAACGGGCCACTGGTTTCCTGTTTTGTCATAGGCCGAAACTTGCTTTAAACGAGAAGACAGAGCAATGCTTCCTCAGGGGATATACAAAATAATGCACATAATCATTAGATAAGACGACCCTTAGACCGATCTCAAGTTAAGACAAGTTCAGCAGCATTAAGAAAGTTAACATGCATTGAATACATTTTAAGCTAGGTGAAATCGATCCCAGGATGGTTCCTGAGTTAAGACAAGTTACCCTTCCTAAGACTTGTTGAATGTTTTGTGAAACGGGCCACTGGTTTCCTGTTTGTCATAGGCCGAAACTTGCTTTAAACGAGAAGACAGAGCAATGCTTCCTCAGGGGATATACAAAATAATGCACATAATCATGAGATAAGACGACCCTTAGACCGATCTCAAGTTAAGACAAGTTCAGCAGCATTGTTAAGGACGTTAAGATGCATTGAATGCATCTTAAGTTATAAGACGCATTGAATGCATCTTAAGTTTGGTGAAATTGATCCTAGGACGGGTCCCGAGTTAAGACAAGTTACCCTTCCTATGACGCGTTTGAATGTTTCTTGAAACCAGCCACTGGTTTCCTGTTTTGTCATTGTCAACCAGTTTTATGGACTCAAATATGCAACTACATTCTCAATGAAGAAAAGAAGATAAAAATTCAGTTTTAGGCCAAAAAAAATAGATATTCGGTCTCTGGTCAGACCAAAGTTCCGGAATTGACGCGGCCACGCGGCTTTTTTTTTTTTTTTCAAGCTTGGATTGTACAGACAAGGTGGGTACTATTTTGCTTTTTTGGTGTCCTCAGGAGGTGCGGAAATAGAGGGCGCTGTTGGAGCTACCGCGGAACATTTTGGGGAAAAAAAGATCGACGCGCATGATTAAATTCGACGCGCGCGCTGACCAGAGACCGACTTATTTTTTTTTTTGGCCTTACAGCCAGGAGGAAAACCCTAGAAGCATATTCCAGATCAGGAAGGAAACTGAAAACTCAATCTACATATCCGCCTCGGTGGCAATTGAACCCGGGCCACAGAGATGGTAGTCGAAGAAAGCACCATATGGACTTGTAAGGACTTGTCTTCATTTATGCTTTGCAGTCGTTGACAGCATTTTGGGATTTATCTTTCCAGCGCCAATTTGACAAGGCCATCCAGTTGTACGAGTCTATGATCCTCTTCAACACGTCATTCAGCCCCGCGGAGGAGCGGCTCAAGACCATCAAGTGTGCCGTGCTGCAGATGACGAAAGGCAATCCTGCGTCCATGCTGGGCAAGTCATAGCTGGAAAAAGGTCAAAGGGCAACACTGGTACCCAATCCTTAACACATTCATCAGGAAAGTGCGCCAGAAATCACCACAACTTCCCCAAAGTGTGAGGGTTCTGGCATAACGAGACAGAACTGGGCAAAGGCTGTAGTGGAAAAAAATGCCCCCCCCCCCAAAAAAAAAACAACCATGGGGGTGATTTGTTTTATTTTCACATTTATTGTTATTTGTAAAGTTTGATATGTGTACTACACATATGTTAAGGAAATAGTATACAAATCATGTAATAAATTTGTTAACATCTCATTTTCACGACTTCAAAGAGAACTTTAAAGACCTCTTTCTCGGTATCTAACTTTTTGCACATGTCGATAAATGCAAACTTTCAACAGCCATAACTTGTTAATGGGATGTCCTATTGAAGTGCAACAAACGGCATTGCAAGGGAATTTTATTCTCTTTCCTAATACAAACAAACCCTCATTTCGACCTCTGCCCAGTTCTAACTCATTTTGCCCGAACCCCTCACATAAATACTCGTTCTCATAACTCCTCAAGACTTTTGACGGAATGCAAATTCAACTGACCCCTTGCACAGAGCCACCTCAATATGGATACTTTGTTGTTTAAATTCAATGACAGTGAAAGTACAAAGTGTTAACTCATGCAAATCAAAGAGGAACAGAGACATTATCCTCAGTGAGGGCGCTCTATGCAAAGGGTCTATAGATCACTGTACACTCACGTGGCCCCCTTCAATGGAGAAACCATTGTGCATGCTGTTGTACAAAGCAACTGCCCGTGATGGATTATCTGAACAATAGCTAGCACAATGCTTTCGCCATTGAAGGGGGCCTTCGTGATAGAAGAGAAAGCGTGCCAGTTTTGGTCTATGCAGTAGGTATATCAATTTTCTGCTTACATGCGAACTGGCAATAACAACACACACTTACCTACAAAAGGTCAAAGGTTATCACTGGTACCCACTATCAAAACGACTTGACATTGGTAACCCCCAACCACCACCTCACATACACCTCTATATTTTGTACTCTAATAAAAGTCACATTATTTTTACTGTTTTGATATTTTGTACATGCTATGGCAAGTTGAAATATATATTGCAATTATATTTTCAAGTAGGTATACATTTTAATGCCTTGCGTTTCCGAGACAACTCATTTGCGTAGTATTTTAAGCAACTGTAGGTAGGGCCAAAATATCGCTTTAGGAAGACGCAATTTCTGAATATTTTTATGCACCGCAGCTCTGTGAAATTTAGCCCTTCACTTCATCTGCAGATCTATGACAGTTTGCCTTTTTTTCAAACTTATTATGTGGAAGATTGTTTTTGTAAACCTGTCTAAAGCCGGCCTCGGGTCAATTTGCGATTTGCTTTCGCCGTGAGGGAACCCTCGGCATCAAGCACAAAAGTCACGCTCAGGTCACAAAACTGAGAAATCGTGTGATTATCAAGGAACAAGCGGCATCTCCACACACAGTCATCGTAACCATGCTCAGTCACCCAAGGCCAAGTTCGCGCAAGGACTATAGTTGACCAATGATTAACTAACGTTTGCCCGAACTCTGTCTAGTCAATGGTGGTTGACTACGCTAGTCGACTATTTGGAACCAACCTACTGGGGTTGGTTGCTTCGCTGGTAATCAATAGCCGCGCGCATTCATAACGCTAGCAGAGAGCCAGGATCCAGAAGGTTTGGGATGACATTTTGACCAGCGTTTGACTAGAGACGTTCGCACGTTGCAATCAGTGCGCAGGCGTAAGGTACGTCACAAATCAACCACTAGTCGACTAATGGTCCTTGCCCGAACTTCGCCAAAGATGTGACGACCATTATGCAGTATAGACGTGATCACATGACTTGATCTCATGGCGGCGCCCAATCAAACGATCTTCAATGTCTGTCAATTCGGTCACCATGATCGTTGTAAAACTCTCCTGCACACCGATTGACTACACATTAGATGATCGGTATGCGCGCACGACGTCGTAACTTCAAACAGCTTGACTGCGATTGATTCCCACCTGTCGGGAACACGCTCTGTCACGGCGCAGAAGTTGAAACTTTTGTTTGGGCCGTGACATTAGCGGCTGATACGTTCCTGACAGTCCAAGTTCAGGCGCAGCTTGATCCTGAAAAGTCAGTCGCCAACTCTTCCGTGTCATCTTGAGGCCGACCCGAGGGCAGCTTTTATGTCCCAACCTCGGCTGAATATATTATGTCCTTTCAGGCCAAGTACAAAAAATTAATCAGTTTCTTGCCTTTTTTTTTAAATCATGCAAATCAAAATTTAGTAGAAAGTGTGATGGCTCCTTTGGACACAAATGTACCAGCAAAAAAGAAGAGTCAAGAAAATGGAAGAATCAATGTATCTTCTTGGAAAATCTGCCATCTTCAGAAGAAAAAAAAAAGGGCCCCCTCCTTCCTTTTTTGCGAAAAGCCCAGACGAGAAACTATTTTTTCTTTTTACTTGGCCTAACCTTGTATCATATTAGCAGTACTAGTAATTGAGTCAAGGCTTAATTAAAGGTGCAAACAATGATATAATACCAAACAAATAGAGGGCGCTGTTTTGTAAAGCCCCCCCCCCCCTAAAAAGTAAATAAATAAATAAATAAAACATTAAGGTACGAGGGTGAAACAAAACTGAAAAGTTAGCTTGTTTTCTTATGCTTGGGGTATATTTTTGAGTCGTTTTATGTTGTTTTTTTATATTGCACTTTAAAAGTGCATATATTTTTAAAGTGTTGATTTTTGGAAAAAAAATACATTTCATAATCATGCTCACAGCCGACTATCACATTATTAAAGTTGGCACATTTTAACTTCTTACCGCTCGTTTAATCAATATTTTAAAAACTGAACTTTTTTTCAGACTTTCCAATCACGAAGTGATTAATTCCTTTGTTTATTAAAAAGAAATATCTTATATTTTGTATGACTTTATAAAGTAAAGAATTAAAAACACGTTTTTCGAACGGTACGGCTTTATATTATGTTGGTGCTGTCTGGTGTTACTTTACAGTTGTGCAGGGTGTCCAAAAAAGTTGTGCAAGCAGATATCCTTTAATTTCCCCAAAAAACTAATAAACATGAGTATTTCATCTTGATGGAGCATATTTATTATACTCTGTGTATATTCAGTAAAAATGCAATGGAAATCCGTTCATGCAAACCAGCGATCTAACTGAAAAGGCTATGGGTTTTTCACCCATTCCAATGGGATGGGATTTACACAGTTAACTTAATTTACATCAGAGTGAAAAGGCCCATGACAATCTGATGCACTGATATCACCAAAGATCCTATAGCGCCGCGGCGCTATATAGGATCTTTGATATCACTAACTGTGTAAATTCCATTGGCCAAATCCTGAACGGGATTTCGTTCCCAGCGCTTACACTTCAAAAGTTTGTATCATAGAGTTGCACCCTCTCTACAATCCCTGAATCAGTAATGTAACATGATTCCAATGGACCGATCCAGTAAGCTCCGCCCAGTGCGCACTGGGCAAATTAACACGTGCTCCTCTCCAATGCCACGCTGCATTTTCCTTCCGCGCGCATCATACGCGCGTGCACGCATGTCGGACTTTAGTGCACGCACGTCGGACATAAATCACGGCTGTGATAAGCACCACCATGTACTATCAGCTGGATAGTATACAAATATTGAATGCTTCGAGTGGTGTAGTAAAACTAGCCTCCCTCGGTGATCCATGGACCATTCTATTTTCCCGAGGCGAAGCCGAGGGAAAATAGAATGGTCCATGGATCACCGAGGGAGGCTAGTTTTACTTCACCACGAGATAAAGCATTCAGTATTTGTTTTATAACACTTCACCCACAGATTCTGCTTGATTTTAAAATTTTACATTATTTAAATCTGAACAGAGTTGAAATAAACTTCAATTTCAATACAAAATTGGTGGAAAATGTATTTCTCTCTTAAAAACTACCCCTTCACGAAATGTTTGAACCCAAGTCTGCGGCGCGCTCTCTTTGGAATAATACGCGCTACGCACAACGCGCAACGCGCACACCAGCATGCATTTGCACACAAATACCGCGCCGTGAAAATAGTACTTTGGTTGCTAATGGTATAAGTACTTTGGTTGCTATGCGCATAGTACTTTTGACCGTGCACAGAAAGATAGCAAATTTAGAAAGTAACATGTGACTTGCTCTCGGTCAATCAAGACACAGAATCTGTGGGTGAGGTGTTATAATACACGTTACGTCGAGGTCCCAGCGAATGTGTTATCTTCGCATCATATACATGTAAACGAATATTTCAAAGACAGGCAGTTAGATTCATCTACGACTATAGCACATCACTTGGGGCAGTTACATCACTTCTCCATTACCATGGATGGCGTGCCCTTCAACAACGAAGAAAAATAGCAGATTAACTATGCTCAACAAACAGCAGGATACTGAACAACACAGTTTATGTACCAGCAGAGGCCTTTGTTACTGAAAATACTCGATCATCCCGGGGACATAAACTCAGACTAACCAGAACCAGAGCCTTCACTAACAGTTTCTTTCCCATGACAATCAAGGATTGGAACAGTCTCCCACCTTTATCATCGAATCTGGGAAAACATCTCACTCAACAATTACAGTGGAACTCCTCAATAGTGATTCCAAATAAATAGGCTGTTGAACACAGTCCAGCTCCACGCCCCAAACTACCCAACAAGTTGGTGTGGCGTTTCCTGATGGATGCTTTGCCAACTATATGCCATTCAGATTCAGAGTAAAATATTGTTAAAACAATTTCTTTACCAGAACTGGCTGGGCACGTTTTACTCTAGGCCGCACAGCCTACAGATGAGGAACATGAGCGAAGCAAACATGTCCACGGAGTCCAATAGTCCACGGAGCAGAGGCCTTTGTTACTACAAATACTCGATCATCCCGGGGACATAACACAAACTAAATCATCGTTTTCTTCCAACCGATACCATTTCAGGCGGAACAATTTCACATGGTAATTGGTACCAGTCCTCTCTTCACTTTAAAGGGAAAATACAACATTTGCAAACATCAAAAAACGAAATCGTCAAATTATCACGAAATACCTTACTAAATTGTTAGGGAATGACAGTCTAAAACATCCTTTAAAATCGTGGCTCCTGGTGGGCTGACATTTTCAAGGAAAACTGTATTTTTCCAACGCTGGTCGGCCGACCAGCGTTGGAGAAAACTGGCTTATTTCAAAAACTGTTCTTAATTTTTCATATTTAGTTATTCTGACTTTTCTTTGCAATTGATCACACACCTGTGAAGGGGTACAAGCCTGCTAGACTGATTCTCTGACCTTACAATTCCCCAAAGTGTATTAATTGCTTCGTTTCATCTTAAGTGGGGTCAGGGAACCAGACTACAAGAACATGATAGGTTTTCTTGGTTTTTCCAGCATCTTCAAGCCCAAAACATGAAACAGTCAGTTTAACAATATTTTATGTAACATACTTATCCTCCAATCCATTTATTTCTGAAATTGGCAGCAAAAGCCAATGTTGTACATTCCCTTTAAGCAAAGGTGTTTTTTCCCCAGTCAAATCGGTAGGTTCGTTTCCCGGTTATTACCGATGTTCCTTCGTGGCTTTTGATAAGTAAAGGCTTGGAATTGACTTCAGCCGGCAATAACGCACGAGTCCATGAGAAGTGCCTTAACCCTAAACCACCCAACCCTTCAAAATCCAACTGCATATTTTCCTTGATTCTGTTGGAGTGAGTAGGCCTACTGCACCAGTCATGCTTTACATGGGGTCAGGAATACCGCCATAATAAGAGTCCAACTGCCCGAGTGTTGAGTCACCGTATGATGTTGGATTTTGCAAGAGTGAGGACGGTTCCTGGTAAATCACACAAGGGGTTAGGGTTATTGAAAGAGGATGCCTTTATCTTGAGCAGTTCGCGTATTTTTTTTCTGCAGCATACATCGTATTTGTACCAATTACATCACGCACCCTATAACATGAATATTTATCACTCTGTGTGGATGGAAGACACTTAGGTTCTCTTAGTGTTTTCCCTTCAATTAAACCTATCCCAACCAACAAAAATATTTGATGAAAATGGGCATGGGTTCGAACCACAGATCTTGCGATCCATGGTTCATTCCACTATCCACTAGGCCACTGTAGCAGCTCGACGAAAGCCGTTCTTTGAAATGCTTTGATGTACATGCATGACTGAGTGATAGTGATGTTGTGACGTCATTGTTATTTTCTTATGAATAAACATCGAAGTAGCTGAATAATCACGATCCATTGACGATGTGTGCTGCAAATAAAAACACCGCGAGCAGTTCAGTAGGCCTACCCTCTAGGTTTCCAGCGGCGCAACTTCCACCGCAACTTTGGACGAAATGTTGCATCGCGACCCTTAAGAACAGCACAGGAGATGTAGTAAGGGTGTTCAAAAAGAGTTCGTTTTGCGATTTTACCACTTTTAACTTTGTCAATAAATGGCACCAAGGGGCAAAAGAGTGCCGGAGAGAGGGAGTGGTCGGCCATTTTAGGTAACTCTATGTGTCCCGTTTGACGCCAGTCAAAGTATTTTGCGTACTGCATCGGGCTTTGATCCAAGTAAAGCAGAAAGTCAGCGAGTTGTTTGGTAGAGTTGAAATCTCCAGCGAAGATGTAGGAATTTGGAGGCGCCTCTTTGGCGTAAAATTCCCGTTGGGCGCCGTATACGACGGGGACAAGCCCGTACGTGTACGCGGTCTCCCAGAGTTTCTCCGTGGCATAATCGTCACACTCGGCGCTTTCTAGCGCCAGGTAGAATTTGTACTGTTTTAGGATCTTTATGCATTCAGACCGGGGCTCGAACGGGCAGAACAGAGGTCCGCATGCGCCGTAGATGTCGACAGCTATGTGTTTTTGCAAGCTGGCCACGTATTCGTACCTGGGCCAAAATGTTGTGTAGCAGTTTCGCACTATCCACGCCACGAGTTTGGTTTTCCCGCGCAGCCATCGGTCCATTGGTTGGCTGTCGTTGGTCGCTGATTCCCCGGCGACAAAGTACCCGTATCTCATCTGCACTTCGGCATCGCGGCGGAAGGACCAGACTCCATGCAGTGGGAGGGACCCGCTGTCCGCTTTGAACAGCCACCGCAAGCGAGCCGCCGGTTCCATTCCGTAATAGATCCACGCCTGGTTGTGAGACGCCGGCATGGATACCAGCATTGTGATGTCCCGGACGACCGCTGCTTCATCCATATTAAACACAACGGCATCTTGGTCTGAGAAGTCTGTCTTGTTCTTGCCAACACTGACCACCATTTTGGTGTCTTCGTCACAAGAAAATTCGTGTTTCCACACTCCTCCAGTCTCTTCCAAGAAGTCTAGCCGTTGAGATAAGTGCTCTTTTGCTCCAAAAATCAAGACATTGTACGGGTTTTCTTTGTAAGTGTCTGTTAAATCGTCCGATATTCCGAACGGATGGAGAAACGTTGATTTGGTGGCAGTGAAGGCGAGGATTTGTAGAACCACACACACAGCAATGACAACCAAGACCCATTTCTGCAAAACGAACAACAAATAAACCCAGGAGAGTGTTTCAAACGAATCATAAGTGTTTCATAATGTTTCAAAAACTTTATGAAAATCAAATTGTATTAGAACTACTAGCAGGTACTGAAGGCTGAGATACAGCCGAAGGCAGAGACCAATCCGAAGTTTTAAATAAAAAGAAATGTGGTTCCCAAAACAAAATTAATGCGCCCTCAAGCGACCAAATATGTTGCTAAGATTATCAATAAGCTTTTCACTTTAAGCCCCAAAATCTCTTCCCTATAAAATTAGAAATTTTAAGTTACTGAATAAAACAGTTACTGGTGAGAGGGGTTTGTACAAAGGCAAGTAGTCCAATCAAAGGTTTGTGATGTTTGAGGTGGATTTATTGCCTCAAAATGGACCCCGAACTTGCAGAAAATTTTGGGTTAAGGTTTCTCTGCTTTTATGGGGTCCGCAATGAAACCTCCCCGGCTTAGGGACCTTCACACATTAGTGACACCGGAAGGACATGGTAGACAGATAATTGAGAATCCTCATGTTGGTTTTTGTGATGGTCTTCTCGGAGGCATCGTACTTTGCACAACCATGAACCATTCAGATTGTAAGAATAATCTTCGCCACCCTGTTGGAAGCACATATTGGGGGTCGTACGGGTCACGTGAAAATAATATATATATATTTTGTCTAGATCTTTTAGGCAAATTGGGTGAAGGCTTGCCATATTAATAACGGGGAATGGAACATGAATGCAGGAAGAAGGGTTGTCTCGATTTGAATTCAGCGAAAGTGCAATGGCATGGTAAATGCTGTTGACGATTTCCGTTAATATATAATGGAAAGTACAACTTCGCCGATTGTGGTACTGTGAATTAAAGGGCCCATGTAATAGATTTTGTTTGATGCAATCCTTTTTATGTACCATTAAGTTCCTTATTTTCACTGTTAATATTGCCATTTGAAGGGTGTTTTGTGCCTTTTTTATGTTACTGTGAATTTCCATATTCACTGAGCAGAACTTCACTGTTACAGCTGAATGCCTCGGGAACAAAAATTGCAAGAATTTGGGAGGTTTTAGCCTTGGTCATTTTTTTTCTGGTTTTGGTGATTCAGTGTTGTTACAGACCATGACAGTAGCTATACGAGAAAAATGTATGCAAAGTTAATATTGTCAGTGTCCAACATATTTTGAGTTTATTCAATTAAACAGAAAGCTCCTTACTGAAGAGTGTCGAAAGACAACAAGTTTCATTGCAAGACCAAAATTGTCATGAAAGACCACGCAAAGCATGAACATTTTGAATTGCACTGATGACAATAACTTTGGTCTTGCACGAAAACAAAAATTGGTCTTGCACGAAAAAAATTCTTGCATGACGCTTTTGGTCTTTCATGAAATTTTGACGTTTCACAAAAGTTTGGTCTTGCATGAAAAAAATGGGTCTTGCATAAAATGGCCTTGCACCAACAAAATTGGGTCCGTGCATGACAATTTTAGTCTAAAACAAAATTAGTCTTGCACGACATTTTTGGTCTCAAAAAAAAAACAAGTGTTGTTGGACTTGCACGGACAAAATGTTTTTGAATAAATTTCACTTTGACTTTCCATAGTAGTTTGTACAAGAAATGTTTTTCGCTCTGTCTTGAACTTGTCAGTGAGTCCTGAAAAATCCATTTTTCACAAGGCACCGCTGGAGCGAAGCAGAAAGGGCCAATGGGTCACAGAGCACTACCCGTGTTGGACAAATTATGCTACGGTTAAAAGTGAGAAGTTTAGGGTATATGCCTGTCTTGATTTCGAGTTGTCCGTACCTTCGGTCTCACGGTGTACCCCCGGGGTATTGTCGCAGGTTGTTGGTTGTCCAGGGACGCTCTGAGTGAGTTGTCTGGCTGGGCTGGATTGCTTTTGGGCAAGTTACCATCCATGTTTGTTTCAAGCACAATGCATCTGAAGTTTTATCTGAAACGATCGAAAATAATTCTGGATTTGCGTAACAAAGTCTGACCCGACCCAACAAAATGAGCTACATTAGCTTCTCCAAAGTTACAATTCAGCATTATTTGCATTTTCCAAATACATTTTCTGCACTCAGGAAATCAACAGGAACACTCGTAAGGGGTGCCAACTGTCCTCCCCCCCCCCTCCCCGGAGAAGCAAAAAACAAAAGTGAATATGCCAGAGAAAGTACAAGGATTTTTTGGAAATAATGTGCTTTGCCCCACTCTAGAAAAAAATCCTGGCGACACCCATGCATATTTCTACCTTATAATTATATGCATAAAAATGTCAAACTGACTGATACCAAAATAAAGAGGACAGTGTGCTCTTTTCACTACATGAAAAACCAATATAAGTGAAAGAAAAACATGTCATAAAGACTTGTTTCGTGGGATCCGGTAACAAAATATTTGGTCACTCTTTGGACGAAATCGCCATGGAGTTTGGAACAAAATCGATTTTGGTAGGAAAAAAATGTAAAAAAACCCTCTCCCAAAATTACTTGTGGGTCCCCGTACTAAGCAAATCTTACTTTTGCGGCTATCCCCTAAAATGGTCTTTGGATTTGCAACTCGCGGTTAAAACACCGGCAACCTGAGGCGAAGAAGCGTCGTGTTGGTCTCGAACTTGAAGTACGGTTGCTTGATTTTACAACAGTTACTAAAAACGGTTGTTATATGACAATTTTGGTCGGATCTCTTAGAAAAGGTAAAGTTGATCTCCTATACAAGTGGATCATTTAGGTTTGTTAGAAATGCTTTAAAATGTCTTTTTGGAGCATAATGCGTGACCCCACTGTGCAATAATATTTGTAAATCTTTCAAATAAAAGCTAGCATAAAACGGTTGTTGATAGAAGAACTAGGACCAACTCTCTTCTGGCTTGCAGTGTGAACAAACGAAACACATCCACCGATTTTCTATCGTCTAGTTCCGAATTCTCTAAATGCTTTTAAACTAATCACATGAGGCTGATAAGTAACGATACGGCCCAGACGAGAGTCTTTTCCCTCAAATTTACGAATAACCACGATTAGAAAAGTAAGAAAGTAGTTTCCAAAGCATACGATACCAAAGAGTGGTTAGGCCTATAGCCTACTTTCCTCGCCTTTAGCCGCTGTGGCCCGGATTCGATTCTACTCCGACCAGTATACCACATGTGGATTTGGGTTTTCACTCCCTACCTGATTCCAGTGGCGGTTCTAGGGGGGGGGGGGGCTGGGGAGGGGCTTTAGCCCAAATTTTGTCTAGCCCCCCTCCCCCCAAAAAAATTCCATAAAAAAATGCACTAGCAATTATGTAAGAGTTTGACGTACATGGGAATATTGTCCCCCTAAATGAGAAGTGTGCATTTGTACACTTTTAATTAATAAAGTGTGCCTGATTATATTGTAGGATTATATCAGCGCTCCCCATTGAAAATATGGCATGAGCCCCCCCCCCCCCCCCCCCCCCCCATTGATTTTCAGAGGCCTAGGCCTAAGTGTCCGGAGAAAATAACCTGTCTACATTTTCAGCACGCCTCCCTGAAAAAATTATACATCCACCTTGCTAGCCCCCACCCCCCACCCCACCCCCCCCCCACCACCCCACCCCACCCCCCAAAAAAATATTGGCTCTAGAACCGCGCCTGCCTGATTCCCTGGGTTTTCCCCAGAATATTCTTCTGGGCTTTTTCCCTCCCCCCCCCCCCCCGGCCCTCCCCCTCTAAAACTGTAGTTTCTTCTCATTGTCTTCTCTCTGCAGGTTTCTTCAGGCTTGCGAGCCACAGTGCCCAGGGCGCTTTTGAGGAATCTTCATTACCAGAAAGAAATACAATACTAAACTTACCATAATCAACAAGACGAACTCATTCTCTTCAAACTCGGAAGTTTTTAGGAAAACGTGTATCTTCAACGTCAACTAAAAGAAGCATGAAAAAGCCGGCCTGTGGTATGTTTTTTTTTCAGTCTGGCTTCTGGCACTGGCAAACTCAAAGTGCAGTTACATGCATGTACTAGGTATGTCTTTACAACGTGTTATACCCCAAGCCAAGTAGTCGCACCTACCATCAATCATGCCGGCTTGCACTTTCACCTCTCGAGCTCGAAGCGCAGACAGGAAACGATTTTACCGTTTATATTGGCTTGATATGGCATATAAAACTTGACCTTGAACCCATCCTAGTCATTAAATGTTTAAAGAGGCTTTTTTGTGAATTTGGTGATTTGTTTTGGACATCGAATGAGGATACCTGTTTGGATCATTTTTTTTAAATCATATACGTTGTATATTGCTATATCTTTCAAACGATAAAGATATCGGATGCACTGCTATTTTCCTGTTTCTCTTTCATCTCGAAAAAAATAGATTCCTTTTCAAAATGCTTTTTTCCCCAGCTTTCACTCGGGAGGTAACACACTGAGTATACATAACAGTGTTTAAACGTTGGTGAAGGGCAAAACCTAATTTGATTTATATCACCCGACGCAAAATTCCATCTTATAATAGTTTATGCGGTACCCGCTGCTATGTACATCAGATTCGAACCAGCCAACCGATCCCGTTAGCTCGGTGGTCGAGTGGTAAGACATCTGCACTAGAAAGCAGGAGGTCGTGGGTTCGAGTCCCACCCGAGTGATTTTTTCCAGCTTTCACTAGGGAGGTAACACACTGAGTATACAGTGTTTAAACGTCGGTGAAGAGCAAAACCTAATTTGACAAAATGCTGTGGTTCTTTTTCTAGCGCTACAAAAACCGAAAAAAATATCTGCCGTCATGTTTAGTGATTGAATTATTACTTTACAATGTCGAATAATTGACTGCCAGACACATTCTCGCGGGGTAGGCTGGTTCCCGCCCCACAATCAGTATTGATAACTTGTATGGACCGGAGTCCAGTCTGCTCGCAAAGCGGATCTTTTTGTGCCAAAACAAAAAACTTTTTCTTCGCCAGAGGTTTAGAGACGTCCCGAAAAAAATGAAAAAGAAAGAAAGTTTGGGGTATAATTATGGAACTGTTTTTTTCTAAACAGGAAAAACCCCAATAATTTGACGAGTGAAAAGTGTTATTAAAAATATGTCAATTATATATTTGATATCTTTTTTTACAAATGATTGTTCTTGGAGTTGTTATATGGCGGACGTGACTTCACTTTTAGACCGGTAAAAAGGCCCAAACATTGCCTACGCTCGCGTCAAATCACGATTTGCACGGGCCTCATTTTGTTTTCCATAAGAGCATTTTGTGTGCCATGAACTTGAAGGTTTGTAAAAAAAAAAATAATAATAAAAGGGTGCAAGCCGTGCACAGGATCAGGAATTCGAGCTCATATTTTTGTGAAATTCGGATGAAATTGTGCCCTGAAATTCCTTTTATGATTTTGCAATGGAGCGCAGGGGTGATCATCTTTGGATGAAATTTTCTCCCAAAAGTCATCGGATTATTCCGAAAATTGAACAGAAAATGAAAGATCATGAAATGAGCTTTTTAATTTGATGAAAGTTGCGAGTATTTTTGGGGGGGGGGGGGGGGGGGATCGCATAGTACATTTTGTACCCCCTGTACGTTGTGACAAGATGGAGGGCGCACTTCACCCGCGGATTTCGATATGCTTCGGTGAACACGCATTGTGAAAGTGTGCCCTTCCTTTACTTCTTACCGTTTACGTACGTACATGTACATTGTACATGTGCGCGCACGCACACACGGTTGGTATAAATGGTTTTGCAATTGGTGGTAGCCGTGTTGCAATAAGTTTCTATAGGCCTACATCAGCTACAGACATGTTGTTTTCAACTACACTGGCCTTTGGAATGTCGTTCCTTATGCATGAGTCAGGGACCCACGTGCGTATTCATATGGTAATACCGTCACGCATGGGCTGGTACCCCCATGTCCGTCAGCGCGTGTTTTGTTATGGGTGTTCCCCGTAACTTTGCGTTAGTGCAAATAGGTCATGAACTGATGAAGGTGTTCCCATGAACAGTTTGTAGGCGAGGATTTGCGGAATTTATAGCTCAGAAGAGGAGAATATGGATGTACTATGGAAGAATAAGGATGAACTGAAGTGGCTGCTGTGATAATCGGAAGAGGAGGAATGTGAATAATTTGATAATTGATTGACAAGTTTGTCAAGTCTTGTGACTTTTCTTCTTCAGTGGATTTGCATTTCAACAGAAGCGCCAGCACTGCAGCAATGACCTGCGTGTAAACTTCAGTCGATTGTGTGTGAGTATACGATTTATGGAATACCCCGATTTATGTACATGTACATGATCGTATGTTGCTATTCAATTACACTGCAGTTGCACAAAATTCCACCTTGAAAACTTGAATCTATTGCCAGATAAATTTCAATTTCATAATTTTGTTGTAGGGCCTACTGTGTTGTACACTGAAACTGTTCATACTAACTTATGATGTAGGCCTACAAAGTATTACTACAAACAAAAGTCCCCCCCCCCCAAAAAAAAATCTCAACAAATTGAAATTTAAGTTCTAATCTCAGTCTAATTTAGGGGGTCCCGCATCTTTCGATTATTTGAGAAACTTGTTATGGAAAGATTGTAGTATCCGGACGCCACTTTTCAGTGGTTAATTTGAATACAAGGTCTATGGAGAGTCAGGGAATATGTTCAAAGTATTTCCTTACAAAATTGGAAATGTTTCTTGGTCCCAGATTCAATTCAATTTCAATTCAATTCAATATAACATTTATTTATATCCAATCATGAATAAAATACAGTTCATATAGCATGTAACAATAATGGTAAATAATTAAAGAATATAAAAAAAAAATAACAAATAAGTAAAATCGTACATGATAAAGCAATTAAATCAAGGCATAATAAGCCTAAGCTTGTCAATGACAGGTGCTAAAAGCATACTGTGACCACTATAAAGCAATAAATGAAACACAAAAACGTTCATAAGTAAGACAATTGTAAACACATAATACTCGGTCAATAACAAAGCAGTTAAACAGGTAAATAGCCTAATAATCAAGAGTCATGTCTTTTCAATATTTTAGTTCCAATGAGAGATGATATATGATGAAAAAAAGTGGCGTCGGGTTTCAACATTCTTTCCCTTGTCATGAATTTGCTATCAATGGAAAGAGAATTGGGAAAGATTTCCATATACGAAGTTCACTAATTTTCCTCTGTATTGACTAACAAGCCCCCAGATAGCAATTTCATGTCATCAAAGTCAATTTGAGCTGTGAGAAAATACAAGCATTTTCTTAGAAAACACTTACAATTTTTCAGTCCAATCTCATAGGGTTTGTACACAGGGTGTTGAGTGAACTTCGTATATGGAAATCTTTCCGAGAATTGCAAGACAAATTGAATGGCATTAAAATAAAATGTAGAGCTCCATAGGTGCGTGTATTTCGGAGTTATGCCAGTTTTAAGGGGTATATTTTGGGTGTGGTGTCTGTAAAGCATTGCGACAATGGTGACTGCGTGCAACAAACGTGCTGACATTATTTTCAATAGCATTGTGTTAAAGGGAAAATACAACATTTGCAAACATCAAAAAATAAAACTACCAAATCATTTTGAAATACCTTGCTGGACTGTTAGTGAATGACAGTGTAAAGCATCCTGTAAAATCATGGTACCTGGTATACTGTCATTTTCAAGAAAAGTGGTATTTTTGTATCAATTTCCAACGCTGATCGGCCGATCAGCGTTGGAAACAACTGGCTTTTTTTTCAAATACTGGCCCCAATTGACCATCGCACTTGTTTGCAATCGATTACAAACCTATGAACGGGTACGAGCCAGCTAGACTGGTTCCCTGACCTTACAATTCCCCAATGTATGTAAACTGCTCTGTTTCTTCTTATATGGAGTCAGGGAACCAGACTACAGGAAAATGATCGTTTTTCTTGGTTTTTATAGCATTTTCGAACCCAAAACCTCAAAAAAGTCAGTGCAACTATATTTGCTATATATTTCCAACCCCCCAATTCCATCCATTTCTGAAAATTACAGCAAAAGCAAATGATGTATATTCCCTTTAAGAAAGGTCTATCTGTCTATACATACGCAGAACTTGAAGAACTTTCTAGAAGTATCAAAACTTGTGACATTATTCAAAAAGTAAATGTATCAAAGTAACATATATATGACCTTATTTTAACCACTTCGCTCCGGTATTATTTTGACATTGACCTGACCCAGGCGCGGGACTGTTTTTCACAAACCTCGATGCCAGACGGGTTCAGGCCATCATCTGCGGGTAGCACACCCTGATATTTCTGGCCTCGCTCGCTGGGAGCGGGTCGCTGACAGATATTTCCGGCCTCGCTCGTTGCGTGTTTATCCGTCATCCGTTCCGAATACCGCAAAACCTTTGCGTGTATACACGTCATCCGACGTGAACTGGTTAAGACTTAAGTACATTATGTAAATAAAAGTTTCAGAATGGAGAACATGTACTTGTGACTACAGATGTACTATTTTACGTACATGTTTGCATATTTACACACAGTACATACAGTACATGTATGTACTTTGACTATAGTGTACAAGGAATAATTCATTGGTAGATCACCAGCGCAGTCATCTTTGGAGCCGTTTTCACCCTTCTCAAGATGAGCACTCCTGATGTAACCCTCTGTGAAGATGACTTTGAGAAAATATTCACTTAGTTGCTGAACATCTTTCTGTCAAGAACATCTAGGCCTACATGTATCTGTCAAGAATTGTGGGCTCTGAGGTCTCTGGACTTGGGACCAGACTTTGGTGGGTTAAACCGGTTTTATGGGTATACCCAACCGTCCCCTTCCCTCAGAGTACATTGTATACTATGTATAACATCTCTTTACTACTTTAACTGTTTTTAATTTCTGGGCTATTTTACACAATTTCTCTAGCATAATATATTTTTTAAAACAGAATGTGCCGTACAACTCTGAACAAGAAGGGAAAGATTTCCTTGTCATATTTTGTTTTGTTTTCTGAAATGTTTGGTAGGGTATCAAAGTCAAAATCATGCCCAATTTCCTTGCAGTGAAATTCACAGAAATTGACGTCAAATACCGGTAGGCCTAATCATCACACGCACATGTGCAGTCATGCGTATGCGTGAAACAGCAACTATCAAATATTGCAAGTGGGTGACCCACCACAACCTTGGGTTGTAACCCATTGTAACCCATTCATTCACTTTTCCAAACCACAATCGAAAGTACCGAAATATTACCTGACATTTTCACCTTGAGTTTATATGGTCCCCTATACAGAATATACAAAAGTGTCATAAACTTAAATTTTGCATGTATACATAACGTACATGAACCATTTACATTCCTGTGGCTTTTGTTGTAATACCTGCGGCTGTATTGACAAAAGGGTTTTGTGATCGTAAAATGGAAATTGCAAAACATTGTGGATATTGGCATATTTTCGTGGGATGGAGTGTCTTCACAATTTAGCGAAAGGTGTAAAAGTTCCTGTGGCCATGGGGAATACAATTGAGTAGCCTTGCTTTGCAATGTACGTGTATTGAATGCCTGGACTATATCTGCTGTCCGCATAGTATTGCTGCATTTACCAACATACAGGGCGGTGCAAAAAGAAGGAAACTCACTTTTGACAGCAATTTTCACCTACTTGTTGAGCATATTTAAAAAAAAAATTAATTTAATGGTATTAAAATATTGACCTTTAAACATGGGCCTACATGTAAGTGATGAAACAGGATTTTAGATTTCTAAATTCATAGTTGCATGCTTGAGTTTTATGTGACTCCATGCGGCAGCCAATCGGAGTCGACTTAGAACCTCTTGCGCTATTTCCATCAGAAATTTGGACTAAGCTGTTGATTGGTCAATTTGGCTGCCATGTTTTGGTAATACAACGGGTTACCAAAGATCGAGAGAAGGCGCCCGCTGAAGGGTCAGAATATGGGGGGGGGGGGGGGGGAAGACACAGACACATTAATTATTTGGCATAATTAATCGCCGAATCTGCCCGCATATCATAGACTCTGGTATGCAAGAATCCCCCACCTCTTAGTTTTGTGAAAAAAATAAATAAATATTTAACACCCCCTTCTGTCTCTAAACGCCACTGATTCTCATAATACACAACACATTGATTTAGATAAAACTGCAGTTTTTGTAAACAGCTGTTGCAAGTTGTGACTAATCAATCAATAATTTACAATTACGAATGGCTCGTGTATAAATTTACAACAGATTGGTTCGCTGTAAACACACGTGTGTACTGTTGGAATGTTGGGTGTGTACCAATATTTCTTTGTATCTTTCCTTCTAAGGTTGGTTTCAGATCAGTTTGCAGTGTTAGCGTGAATTATTATGTGGCAATAAAAATTATGCTGCGCACACTCACAGTGAAATGCTAAAAAGCCTCGATAGGTATGTTCAGTATTTGCCTGTTTATGTTTACTACCGGTACATAAAACATGCACATACTTTTGTTGTAGGAATATACGCACGTTATTTTGTGCACTCATGAGGCCCCCTTCAATGGCGTAAAGCATTGTGTCAGCTATTGTGCAAAGTAACTGGCCCGTGATGGATAACCTGAACAATAGCTAGCACAATGCTTTCACCATTGAAGGGGGCCTTCATGATAGAAGTGACTGACAGAGTAACTGGATTGGTCTCACATCGCCCCTTTTTGTTGAAGCACTGTGTCCATGCACATACAATGTACATGTATACACAGTCGTGTTTTACTATACTCTCGAGGACAATGCTTTGTGTTTCCCTTTTGTCCCTGTAATATAACACTGTCCCATAGACTAAGTACGATAGAGGACCGTTTTCAACAAAAGACCCAACTCCCGAGGACTGAAAGGATCTGTTGTTCTCCCTTTGTGTGTCGGTCCTCAGGGGTTATGTAGAACACGTACATGTACATGTATGTACATACACATCAACTTATTAGGGTTACATCCAGATAGAAGTATAAATGATGTTTGTTTCTGTTTTGCAGGTGAAACAAAACTTAAGTCACCATGGCTACCACACTGGAAAGACGTCGAATGCACCGGGGCTTGAAAAACTCCAAATGCTGCTCCCACGTCTTCAACACGCTACTCCTGGTAAAAAAAACGTTGTTTCAATCTTCTTTTACGCATCTTCGTAAAAACGAGTTGCATAAGTACCAAGTTAATTTCACTCACCTTCCCCTGAAAGAATTCCCAGCAAACAAATGCATTCAAGTTGCCCTCTTGTCGTTTTTTTGGTCAACTAAGATTTTCAGGTTATGTTTTTTTACCAAGAAAGTACTTTGAGCATCTGCAACTGAAAAAAAACACCCTTATTTGAGTTGCTTGAACTTGGGCCTCCCAATGCACACAAAAAAAGCCTGAATTATAGTCTGAATTGTAAAATTCTTACCCCTCAACTAAACATGAAAAGATTTGATCCACGCAATGTCTTATTCAAAAAGTAATTTTTTTTTTATAATTTGGAGGAAAATAACAATTCAAAATGCTTTTTTTTGGGGGGGGGGTTGGTTATGAAAGTGAAAATAGCACAAGGAGTGAAAAAAAAATGGTAATGATTTTGGATTTCTTTTTGGCCAATTAGATCGCAGCACTGGGAGCCATCGGTGTCAGCGTCTGGATCTTCCTGACGGTCTGGTCGCACCCGGCAAGAGAGGGCGCCCTCTTCATAATCGGCATTTCGTACTTTGTGAGCAACATAGTCCCAGCGGCCCTCGGGGTGATCGTGATCCTTGTGACGCTTGTAGGGATGTGCGGGTTATGCGCGACGCACCGGTGTACGCTTCTGTGGGTGAGTTTCGGTTTCATTTTAGTTCTTGATATTTTTCTCCACGGCTCAAAATTCAAATTACAAGACGAGGCTAAAGCTCCAGTCACACATTCATGGTTGGAGCTACGAACATCCACGGTTTACCAAGAATCAATCGATCACGATGAACTGTCGAGATTCGTGGAGAAATCGACTTTCTAAGAATGCACTTCGGTTTGAGGACAGATAGCCACAACTGTCCTAAGGTTTCTCTACGAATACACCACGGTTTGTCAAGAATATAGACGGATTGTTATAGAATATCGACGGTATTACTAAGAATAATGACGTTAACACCACTGTTGTCTGTGATTGGGCCACGGAAGACCAAGATTCTCCTACGAATGAAGCATACATATTCGTAGTACAACCTTAGCAGAATCCTAGCATATCTGGGCATATCCGTCAGACATTTGTAGCAACTACGAATGAGCTACGAATCTCCAAGAATATGTACGAATAGCCGCAAATAACACTATGAAAAGTACGGTTGTCCTATGGATGTCCCACGGTTGCGCTACTAATTGATTTTCATGACCATTCTCCACGGACGTTCGGAATAGTGTAAAACTTCATGAATACCCAAGGAAGATGACAGATAACCACGGAGGTACGAAGGATGAATACCGTACTCCCACGGCTTATCACGAACTATGGATATCCGTAGCTCCAAACCATGAATGTGTGACTGGGGCTTTATTCAGACTGGATTCATTGAAAGTCGTTTGAAAATATGGTGCCCGCAGGCGCATCTTTTATGTGCGTTAGCAATGGAATTCCAACTTTACATGTACCGGTACATGTAGGAGACCCAAAAATGTGTGCATATGTTCCTCTGTTTTCTCAAAATGTGTAGTATCCAAACTAGCTGAAACTTCAACAATTAGTTAAGTGTTGTACAGTGTACACCCTACTTAATATTTCATTATTGTTCAAATGAAAAATATGCAAATGATAATCTCCAGAAAATGAGACTTTCTGGCAATCCATATCAACACACACACAGGGTTGTGTGGTGTACGCACTGATCTCTATATAAAGACTGGATAGCGGATACAGAGCCGCACAATGAATGAATTTGACGCCATATTGGTGAGACTGTGAGACCGCGGCTGGTGATCTACACAGGACAAGTTGCCGTCTTTATAGACAGCATGATTTCTTTTGTAACATCTCGGATCATTTGACTTATATTTTGACCACCACCACTGACCAAGGTTGACAATTTTTCTAACGACGTGGTTTACTTTTTTAATGCCGCAGTTCACTTTTTCGGCGTTTTGGAAATAATAATCACTACGGAAATGTGTCCCTTTTAGAACATAATAATATGTGTACGTGACTAAAGTGCGCGTCAACTGTTGATACACACGCGCGTATATACGCGCTGAACGTTCGTATTATACGCAGCCATCTTCGTGAGACCGGGGGCGATTTTGGTCAATATGCAAAGTCTACTGTGTGAATGCTGTATGGATATCCGCTATCCAGTCTTTATTAGAGATCAGTGGGTGTACGTTGTTTATACTCGGTTGACATTATTAATACTCTGTGACTCAGTCAGTTTAGAGGAATAGAGGCCGGCCCCTCCGGTCTCCGGACAGTAAAAATGTAGTCGCATCCGATTAAATATTTGGCTACAGCTTGTGTTAACACAGGCGCCAGTGTGGAAGTTGATAAAGCCACCTTCCATAGGCATGCATGCTACTGCTACTACCGGTAGCCATAGCCATGTTGTTTGGGAGCCACCTATACCAGACCTCTTTTTGAATAAAAAACAATCGTCCAGATTTTAGAGAACAAAATTTGGAAACATTTGTTGAAAATGTTTGGTCCATAATGACTTTTCCTTTCTTTCTTTCAGTATTTTATTTTGCTGATGGTGGCATTCGTTCTGACGATCGCTGGATCAGTTTTCAATTTCATATTTTATTTTGAGGTAAGTGCATTGAGCTCTTATTATTTGAAGAACATAAAGGAAAATGGGTGATCATTTTCTTTGGATGGTTTTAAGATATTCTAGCCTTTCAAACAATTAAGTCTTAATCAGTTGCGTCGGATGACGTGCTAACACGATTTGGCTCTTTCTATACACAGGCACAGCAGACTGGTTAAATTATCAAGCGTGCCTCGTCTCTCCTCCAGATGACGTCTAAACACACTATTCCCCCATTTGTTTTGTACACACACAAAGTCCAAGAACTCTGTGGAGGCAGACGGTGTGTTGTACTTGAACTTGGCCGCTGTGTACGGCCTGTTGTGGTACAATTTATGCTTCATGGGCACACCCCGGAGTGTTGAAAAATATGAGGTTTCGGCAAGAAATATCGTACAAATACTGTTGAAATGACTTTTGCGAATCAGTATTTGTGGCATTTGGCTGTATATCAAAAGTTCGCTGCTATATTTTGCCTTTTTCGAAAATTGAAATTTTCGGCAAAAATAATCCTGGCCCAAACTGGTTAAAAATGGGTTGTCTTCAAACAAATTCCGTTCTCACTTTGTAGCTTGAAGTCTAGAACCGCCCCTCCTTTTTTCTGGCAAATCTTTTTGGTTTAAAGATGCACTATCAGTTCTCTTCAAGAGATTTCTGCTGACAAATGTTCACCTTGTATTTTTTTAAATCAGAAAAACTCCACTCTTTCCTATTTTGGCCTCTACTCCCCTCTGAAAAGGCGTTTTACTGTGGGTTGCTTTTACGCAAAAAAAATGCGAGTAGACTGGTACCCAGGATACTGATAGATAGGGGGAACCGGGGCCAATTTCACGGCGCTGCTAAGCACAAAATTTGCTAAGCATAAAAAAGTCTGGCTTATAAATGTAGGTTACCAGCCAAAACTCCACATGATGTATATTGCTTGAGATTAGTATCAGCTGTTGTTTGCTTAGCATGAAAATTTCATGGAGTTTTGGCTGGTAACCTGCTTTTATAAGCCAGACTATTTTTGTGCTAAGCAAGTTTTTGTGCTTAGTGGCGCCGTGAAATTGGGCCCAGGTCTACCGTTTGAGAACTGAAATAATGTCCAGCCACACAAATACTGCAAAATTTGTAAAGTATGAGTCTAGAAAAATTGCAATTGAAAAAAAATGAAACCTCTGTATTTCAGGGTGAAACTCAAAAATAGAACAGACAATAATCTTTTAAAGGGGCACTAGGTCCTGAAATCCCCCCAAATTTCATGTTTGGGATTGTTTACTTATCCTATTTTTTTTCTCGCGAACAGCGGTAACCGATCACCAATGCACAAAATGTGGTTTCTTACACGTCCGCAAAAGGCGAAAACTTTACGGATGAAATCTCAACTAGCATCCAAACAGCTCGACTTTTTGGGGTCGCAAAAGTGGACCCCGAAATTCGTTCTCGCACGCATAATACAGGAATAACACACAAATGCCCAGTTTTTAAAGGATAGTTGTGTGATGTTTATATCCTACGTTTAAATGTTCTTTCCGATGAACATCATTTCGTTCAAAGCGCGTTTTGTAGCCCAATTGGGCTGTTCCAGGACCCAGTGTCCCTTTAAGTATTCCATCTTTGCATTGCATTATTCCAATTTTGTTCTTCATTTTCCTCCCAGCTTAAAGGCACTATTGAAAGCAGTTTTTTAAGGAATCTTAAAGACGAATATGGGCTGTATGGCGGTGAAGAAGTTACACGAAGCATCGACTCGGTGCAAAGAGAGGTATGTTCATGCAAAGTCAATACTGGGTTTTTGCACTTCACTGAAATATTTTATCAACACTGTACAGGGTGAGTAAAACAAAACGAAACCCAAATGTCGGGACCATTGTTTTAGTGAATTTCTGCATGTAGCACTTTCAACATCTAGGATATGAAAGCCCAATTCATAAGCATCCTTCTAGTACAAGAATCATTCAAATCACTCATGTACTTTTAAAGTTACAGAGTTTTAAACACAACCACCGTTTTAAATTCTGTCCACGGATCACAAAAAAAGGTGTGCGTTCTTTCAGCAAAACAAAACAATTCACATACATCCCTATGTGATTTTTGTTCGTTTTGCCGAAAGAACGCTGAACTTTTTTGCGATCCCTGGACAGAACTTTAAAACAGTGGTTGTGTTTAAAATTCCGTAACTTGAAAAGTACATGAGCGATTTGAATGATTCTTGTACTAAAAGAAAGCTTATGAATTGGGCGTTCATATCCTAGATTTTGAAAATGCTACATGCAGAACTTCCCTAAAACTATGGTCCCGACATTTGGGTTTCGTTTTTTTTACTCACCCCGTAGACCAGATATATCAAAAGACTTTTGGTGAATAGCCATTCTTGAATCACTTCAATCTAATTTTGTGTGCTTTGTGACCAGTTTTACAAGGCTAACCTAGCACTGTTATAATAATTGTTTTTATCTAATCGCACAGTTTGAGTGCTGCGGCAGTCTATCCTATGAGGAGTGGCGTACCAGTGAGTGGCATGCGTTAGAGCGCATTAGGTATTTCAGGGACACCGACGCTCCCATAATTCCCTCCTCTTGCTGCGTCACGTCAAGCACCAGCAACGAGACAGAACCACTGGACCGTGTAAAATGCTCGGCCCTAAACTCCACCTACCCCAACGACTTCATGTACAGCCAGGTAAATTTTTGGAAAATGTTTCATTCATCATTTGTATATTGGATGTATGCAGTGTACATGTATATAGTGTCCCCTCATCATACAATAGGGTGTGGTGTGCGACGGCGTAGTCAGGGTTGTCACCATAGGGGAGCAGTGTTCTCCAACCTGTAAAAATTACCTGGTGCTCTGAGAAGCTTTCTGAGGCACCCGCCAAGCTTCAAAAGCTGCTTCCAAGCTTAAAAAGTTGCCCGCCATGCTTAAAAAAAGGGGAAAATTATAAAAAAAGACAAACAAGTGGGACTACCCTTACCCTCCAGGGTATATTTGGCCAGAAACTCTGCCAAAAGCAATAACATGCAACAGGGGAGGGGGGAGTCGGGGGCTGGATGTTACAGTTGGGGAATTCTTCTTTAGGGGCCGTGCCCCTTTGATAATGCCGCTTTGATAAATCCTGATAGAATGTTATTTCAGAAAGAGCCGTGGGGAGGTGATATTCCAAGAAAGTCATGGAAAAGTCAGCACAACCTGTACATGATGATGCGTAATGTTTGGCTATGGCAGTCTTCCACTTTGCATTCTAGTTTACTATTTTTCCTCATAATGCATGTTCAGTGCACCATTGTGATGCTTTTGTGGTGCTCGGTGGTCTTGTGTCAAACTGGAAGGCCGAAAGGGAGCGGTGTCACTTGCCTGAGTGTGAAGACGGGCCAGTGTATTGTAAATAGGCTCCTTAGATGCTGAAAACAGTGTGGGAAGTGGTCATGGAAAACCTAATTTTGTCCTGGAAAAGTCAAGGAAAAGTCACAGAATTTCATGTTAACATTTCTGTGGGACCTGACAGAACTCTGATGAGTGGTCACCAAGTGCCATCTTGTTTTTTTGTCGCGAGTCCTAAAAAATTGCCTTTTTTAAAATTCAGAAGCAGCTTTTTTATTTCTCTTCATCGTTTGTTTTTCTCTTCTCTCTGCAGAGCTGTAGTGGGTTACTCTACTCGTGGTTGTCGCTGTTCGCGTTAATCCTGGCTGTAGCCTGTGCGGTGCTTTTCGTCACAGAGGTACAAAACATTCATTTTGTTCTTTTTCTTAGTCTGATTTTCTGCTTTACCAGAAGAAGCAAAACAATTAACAAAATCCACCTTTAGAAACAAAATCCAGATTTATTTTAAAATCTTTAAGTATAAAATTGAGCAGTGTTTGCCCTTTTTTTTTATTAATCTGTTCTTCTTTTTATATCAGCTGATGGGAGTTGCGGCCTGTGCGGTTCTGTTTCGGCGATTGGGCCCAGTCCATTACGAGGAAAAGAAAACGATGCATCGGCTCCGAGGAGACCCAGATTGGGATAAACGGAAAAGACACGCCCACTCAAGGGTGTAAACAGAATTGTCCCTATCAAGGACTATTTTTGGCCAGCTGAGTTTTTGTCAACTTCCATCAGCAAAAACATTGGAGTGAAGACTTTTGTGAACTCCTTCTGTGGTGCCTTTTGACAACTAACACATGTGAACACATGTACTTTGGGATCGCTTAATACAAGAAATGGAGTCTTGTTCCTGGACTTGTTTCAATGCTATGGGTTGTGTTGTGGACCACTGCACCATGTTAAGTTGGAGTCTTGTTCCTAAACTTGTTCCAGTTGAATGGGTTGTTCCGTGGACCACTGCACCATGCTAAGTCGGAGTCTTGTTCCCGGACTTCTTCCAATTCAGTGGATATTCCTGTGGACCACTGCGCTGTGTGAAGTTGGAGTCTTGTTCCCGGACTTGTTTCAGTTCGCTGGGTTGTCCTGTGGACCACTGCACCATGCCAAGTCTGAATCTTGTTCCCAGACTTGTACCAGTACTATGGGTTGTCCTGTGAAGCACCGCACCATGCCAAGTCAGAGGAAATACAAGATGGCAGACTGACCTACGCACTTCTGGCTACAGTCAAAGACGTGGCATCCTGGCGAAGTTCACGATATGGAACTACCCTGATTTTGATCGACCTTGATGTTCGGTTGGAATCTTTGACTACTGAATTTATGGATCGATCCTTCCTGCCTGTCAATTAAACAGTATGCATTGACCAATTGGATCGCGACTTTTGGTCAGGTGACGACGGTAGCTTGGTCGAGCCCGGTCACAAGCACTGTCAGAATTGTACACAAAGCAAAAGATGGGCAGGGATTTTGGCCAAATCTGGAGCAGTCAACCGCTTTAGATAGGCAGAACTGAAACAATGAGTAACTGAAAGGGCATTATTTCGTGCTGATTTATTGGTTCGCTTGAGTATGAGCCTGCTTAAACACTTAAGAAGCAGGCAGGAAGTAAATGCAAATTTTTCTTTAGCCTTGGGGCAAGACATTGTTGTAGAATCGTGATAACCAGCCGCTGCGTTAACCCGCTGCCCTGAGAGGGCATCATCATGACGAACCGCTATCACCCACGAACCGCAAGTAACAACATCTTTGGAATTGTGTAAAATCTCCCCCGAAAAAAGGGGGAAAGTAGTTTGCATGCGCTACCCTGCAGGCAATCACGGACCATTTTCAATCCCATGCATACTACTTCATTGTATGACTAAATAGCTGCCATGAAGTTGCACAGAAGTCTTGCTGCCTCTTATACGCTACTGGAAGAAATTTACGACTTTGGTACGAACTTATATGAAAGGTTTTGAATATATTAGGCAAAACAGGTGCGTGTGCATTGCACAACCGCTACAAGATTCCCAATACGATGTTGCTGGCTGTTGGAGGGTGGTAGCGGTTCATCGTGATAACGCCCGCTCATGGTGGCAGTTACTATCGCAATGTACCAAGCATTAGCAACGTTGCTGGCGGTCCGTGTGCGATAGCGGTTTGTTGTGATAATGTCCGTTCGCAGCAGCAGGTTCTATTACGGTGGTGGGTTAATATCACAGAACAATATCTCTACCCAAGGCTAACTTTTGTTCAGTAGCTTGTACAATGTGCCAATATACAAATACAATTTTTATACCAAATATTTCACAATTTTTTATTTTTTGGTGCTGGGGAATGGGAAGATATTACTTAAAAGTGTTTTTGTTATTTTAAAGGTCCTTAACTTTTCAGTGTTGTGAATAATTTGCCGACTTGTTACCATTCTGCTGGTCTGTTTAATACCTCCATATTCTATACAGTAGTATTTTTTGCTGGTTGTTTTTTTTTGCATGTATACAGGTTGTTGCAAAAACTGTAGTATCAGATATTTTTATGTTTGCCCTTCAAATCTAAAAATACAACTGTGACATTCAATGTCCAAATCCACTTTTCCCTTTTTTCCCCCAACATCTTGTTTAAGTATGAAGGAGATTTCCTGTAGAATATAAAATTCTCTTAAATGATTTAAGTACTACGCAATAGGAACCGTGGAACATTTTGGATATGAAAATTTGGGTGGTCAGTTTATATTTCTTGCATATGTTCTTCAATTTTTATGATCAAATTGGAATTATTGCATGATTGTTTTTTAAATACTCAGTGGACTTGCAAATCGAGCAAAACTTTTTATCGCCAAACATAATTTGGTGATTAGTGGAATGTTCGCTTGGTACAAGAGTTGTGCAAAGAAAATGTTGAATTTGTTCACTTCAGAAAGACAGGTTTTTTCTGTATTTGAAAAACGTCGCAAGGATTTTTGTACAAAAAAAATGCCCAGAAAATATGTTGCTATGTATATTTGGAATCTTATAGCATGAACAATTTTTGTCTCCATCCCATTTTTATACAAAGATTATACTGTTAAAAGATATTGGTATATTTTTTATTCAAGGAAAATAGTATCGGTACCAGGGTATGTATTTTTCTTAAAGTTCGCAATTTTTGAAAATTTGATGAATTATACTGTTAGTTTTAATTTTCAGGGTACTTACAGAAAGTTTCTTTTTTGTCTTTTAACATCTTGTACATACTATATTTCCACATGTAGGTGTATATTTCTGGTGTAATCTGGCTGTATATGTTAGGTCGTGAGAATTTCTTATATATTTTTTTGTTACGTATATCAGTATTCAGATTTTGCATCTACTAAATAATTTCCTGGGCATTTCTTATTGAAACATTCCTGAATCCTCCAAAATCCACCACTTTGCATGAACTCAGTGGCACACTCTATGTGCATGTACGTGTACATGTACCTACCAAGTTTCAAGTAGCATCAAGCCACGCGTGTAAAGTAACAGTGGCTGAGGTATACCTTCCTCAATCCTACAAAATCTTTCAAATCTCTTTGTGGATTTGAAGGACCTGGGAGTGTTAGAGTCAAAGATATTCAACAGTAAAAGTAATTTTATCAGGGTTTTTTTTATGATAGATGAAGTTAGGTAAAGGCAGTGGTATGTGAATTATATGCGTTTTAGAAGTGCAGAAGGCATTGAAAACAACTGCCTTTTTATGATATTTTGTGGTCATTTATATGTATGGAAAACTGCACACACATATTTCTGACTTTGATTCTGGAGGTGTGCCAACCCAATGTAAAAGACTGTCACCCATCCTGACAGATTCCAACAAAACATGCCGTTGGGGTTTGATGGGTTGACTTCTGTTAGGGTTAAATTACAAAAGTGTTTAAAACTTAAACAGTAATAACATTCAGGAATGCACAAAAAAGTATGGTACATATTTTTTTTTCATTTTTTTTTTATGAAAAATTAAAATGATTTTTTAAGTTTAACAAGACTAGTTTATACTCATACTGTAATAGTCCTGTCTTCCAAAGTTAGGAGAGGCGCCATCCGCGCTTGGCATCGATCGCGGCCCAGCGGCATATTGAAAACATCAAACACAAACAACTGGATACACTGTGTATCAATTTGACACAAAACAGGTGCGGATCATTGAGCAATGTATCAATAAAACTTCTTGGAACCTGATCAACTATAAAATGCGTTTCTAATTCTTTATAAATTAAATAAAATAAACATCGTAGATTCTTTGTAAATCAAACTGGAAGGTAGATTGCGCAAAATACAAGGGCCCATTTTTTTAATTTGAGTTCGGTTGAAACGTTTGGGAAAAATTTCTGAACGGATTTACGTGTAAACGTCACATCCTTACTTCCAATTTCTTTTTGAGAAATTCCATCAAATGCCTCATGGGAGCTGTCCTGAAGATTTGGTGAACATTTGTTTGTATACATTTGTTCTATTCAGAAAGTTATATTTTTCCTACACTTTGACACTTTTTATATTACTTTGTTCCATGTGGACTTTCAAGATTTTCAGAATTGTATGTGTAGTGTACTTGAAAGATAGTCTCTGCTGCCTTTATTGTACACACTATATGAAACATCACTACATTACGGTGTCGAAGTTGTAATAAACAGGGTTTTATTTTATAAAATAAAACTACATATTTACTGTAAAAATATGACTGCAATTCTAATTTTATTGTACTTTCATTACTTTTTACACTTCCCTGAAATGCTATCTTTGATTGTCGGGGTTTTTTTTGGTCAAAATACTTGTATGCCATACATGTAATAATAATAATAGGTTCTTATATAGCGCTTTTAACTAAGATCAAAGCGCTTGACATTATTATTACCCCTAATCATTGGGCCAATTAAACATTCCAAATACCATCTCAGCTCCCTTGAGAGTATATACAGCTGGATGCTGCCTGTTAGGCGCAAGGAAGCTAATTCCCTCACAGGTACCATTTACTCCTGGGTGGGGAGAAGCAATGAGTGACAAAGTGCCTTGCCCAAGGGCACACGCACCATGACCCCAGGCTGGACTCGAACCCTCAACCTGCAGCTTTACCCACAGACCACGAATCCAATGCCTTTAACCACGAGGCCACAGCACTCCACATATATAGGCAACAAGTACAGTGTCGTAATCATTAGTAAATTTCTCTATTGAATGTACTGCTTATTCTGCTGGCTCTGCTTCAGATAGCATTCGAGGAGTTACTTCATTTGCAAAGTGTGTTTTGCTGAAATATTTTGACGTGTCTGTCCCTTCTTGATAGAGGTGTTTGGTTAAAATTAATATTTAAGTTCAAAACCCCCGAAGAATTATGTTGTGAAAAAGAGAAATATATCGTCCAATGCGTCTGATATGTTTAAAAAGTTTTGACAATTTATTTGAAGATTGTCGACCTAACGTGTCATACCGAATTTCTTTTCTGTGAAAACGGATTTGCGCCCTCTACTGTTTAAGACTTGTACTCCCCCATGAGCATAATGGTTTCGCCCAATTAATTATTTTCATCAAGTGTACGTGTATCGCGCGCTAGTTGACTATGCACGCGCGATACACGATTGACAGCAATTCATCAAAGTCCGTCACACGTTGTCCGCAGATAATCGTTTCCTTTTGTTGCTGGAAAATACCCTTCCGATGCGGTAAGTAGCATTTCAATTATCATTTTCCATAGCTGATAAAACATTGAATTGCATATATTGTTAACAATGACTGATCTTCGGTTGGGATTGCTAGAAGATGCAAGAAAAAGCGAGATGATATTTTTTTCGTGATGCTTATGTTTTCTTTGACGGCGATGGGAAGCGCCACAAGATTAAGAGAAAGTGATCACGATGCGGAAAGGTCTGGCTCATTTTTTTTCGCCGATTACACCCCAAATATTGCGTGGATATTCAGCCAGGCCAATTTATCTTCATCTTACAGTTTTGACGTACGATACACCATGCTGATATTTTGTCCAATAAATTGAAATTATGAGGCAGCGTTTGATATTTCCCAAGCATAACCACCCGTAGGGCCGTACTCGACTCGCGAGTCGCATTAGGAATGAGTACCGTGCGCGTCGTTAAATTGACGGGGGACAAAGTCGGTTGGCGTGCGGTTGACTTCTCAACCATTTCCCAATGCGGTTCGGAAATCTTGGTAAGATAAAATATCGCTTCCTGCTGCTGCCAACCATCCATGCATTTGGCGATCAAAAGGCAGATTTTTATTAAATAAGCCTATTGTATTTGTAACTGAAAGTCTTCAAATTCTAACTTGGATTATTTAAACAAGAGGTTTTTTTTTATTTGTAAATAGGCCTAATAATATTTAAAACAATTGCTCTTTGTTGCTAGTGTTCACATAAAGTGCTTGCCCAACCCAGCACTGTTTATTTACTTTTTATTTTAGGGACTATTTTTTGACATAATGGCTACGGACACTGTAATGCATTTTTCAACGGCTATATTGAATTAATTGCAACACAACTAAAAACATAACATTTGTAATTTTAGTATTTTTCTTACTTTCATGTTTTCAGAAGTCTTAAATTGTACTGTTCGTGTATGTTTTGCCTTCTGACTATGAGATGTGTGAAAAATAAAATCAATCAGTGAAGAAAATTAATCTTGGATTTGCCGACTCGGCTAGATTCTCTGCTGGAAATCTGCCCTAGGCCTTTGGCACACAACTTTAATACTGTACAATATTTTGCTGAACAGTAAAAAGGTCGGAAAGATTCCCATATCTGGCCATCATTAATTGTTCCCCTCAGTGACCTATCAGCCATCAGAAAGTGATAATTTGCCCTAAACATGCTAAAAAATCAAATTTAAAGGGAATGTACATCATTGGCTTTTGCTGTAATTTTCAGAAATGAACTATTTGAGGGGTTAGTATAATAGATCAAATATTGTTACACTGACATGTTAGAAGTTTTGTGTTCAAAAATGCTGGAAAAACCAAGAAAAACAAAAATATTCAAGTAGTCTGGTTCCCTGACTCCACTAATGATGAAATGGATCAATTTATAGATGCCGGAAAATTGTAAGGTAAGGGAACCAGTCTAGCTGGCCTGCACCCATTCATGAACATGTAACCAATAGCAAACTAAATTTGGACTGAAAAATGGTAAATTTGGAGCAGTAGTTGAAAAATAGTTAGGTTTTTCCAACGGTGGTCGGCCGACCACTGTTGGAAATTTATACAAAATACCACTTTTCTTGAAAACGACTTCACATCAGGTGCCATAATTTTACAAGATGCTTGAGACTGTCATTTATCAACATCCTAGTAAGGTATTTTTTTAAAAATCTGTTAGTTTTGTTTTTCGATGTTTACAAATGTTGTATACTCCCTTTAACAGGGAAAATATTGAAGTATTTACTGAAAAAACGCTTAGAAATTTTCAGACCAGTCTGATAGGGTTTGTGCACAGGGTGACAAGTGATAGCCAGATATGGAATCTTTCCAAAAGGGCAGAAAGTGCGGATCTACCGGTAAGGCGGTTGTGGTCAGCGTGCGGATTACCTGATTCAGATGCACAGCCCTAGCCAAAGGACTAGTGTAAAAGTCTATGAAAGCCTTCCTCCATGTTTGTAGACACACCAAATAGCCTCAAGCAATGACATCTTACATACTACATCTGGTAAACCAATCACACAACACTGTAACCATTGGGGCGGATTGTCAGTGTAACACTTGAGGCACTTTAAGGCTCCTGCAGGGACCCCCTGCTTAGTATTAATAAACATTTAGGGATGCCCTCAACAAAAGTTCACAGTTGAGACCTGTACTGGCAGAAAGTTTGTACTTCTGGGGCATAGATTATTTATGAAGAAAATGATTATTGAGGAAATTTTTTTTTGGAAGAGCTAGGAAAAGTAGACTTTTTATTGTAATGGCATTTTTGTTTGATTTAGTCAGAGGTAAATGAAAGAAAGAATTCTGAGAATTCTTTCTACTTAAATGTTCAAAGTAGTTTGTTATCCTATTGATAAATTTTGAAAATCAAGAATCTTTCTGTGATAGATTTTCTTAAAGGGAATGTACATCATTGGCTTATGCTTTGATTTTCAGAAATGAACTATTTGAGGGGTTAGTATAATAGAAAAACCAAGAAAAACAAAAATGTTCAAGTAGTCTGGTACCCTGACTCCACTGAAGATGAAATGGATCAATTTACAGATGCCGGAAAATTGTACGCTAAGGGAACCAGTCTAGCTGACCTGCACCCATTCATTAAAATAAAACCAATTAGCAAACATAATTGGACTGAAAAAATTGTAAATTTGGAGCAGTAGTGAAAAATAGTTAGGTTTTTCCTACGGTGGTCGGCCGACCACCGTTGGAAATGTAAACAAAAATACAATTTTCTTGAAAATGACTAATTCACACCAGGTGCCATAATTTTACAGGATGCTTTAGACTGTCATTTACCAACATCCTGTAAGGTATTTCGTAAAAACTTAGTCATTTTATTTTTCGATGTTTGCAAATGTTGTATTTTCCCTTTAAGAGAAAAAGTTCAACTTAGTTTTCTAGGGAGACCTTACTTTTGTATTCTTATTTCTTTCTTTGTGGTTTTCAGAGAAACTTCTCAAGAATATAACTCACTCAGCATAGTTTGGTTTACACTGTGTATCAATTTGTCACCCCATCACTTCCCCAGCCTTTAAATTCCAGTCTAATTGCCTTGACCTTTGACCTTGAGGTTGACAGGGAAATAAAGGGGGGGGGTGAGACCCTACCAACCCACCCAACAACTCAGCACAACCACTGTATGTTAACCTTTTCTGGCAATGAAATTAAGTTCTGCCTAAAGTTCAACAAGGCTGTGGTATCGTGATTTATAACTTGTGACAACTAACATGGAGGTTTGGAACTTTTTTAGGGGGGGGGGGGGGGTAGGTTTGAGATATTTGGCAACAAATGTCTCAACAAAATGTGTGACACTTTGATGGATTGGGTCCTCACTGGAAGGCGTGAGTGGCTTTAAAGGGAAGATACAACATTTGCAAACATCAAAAAACGAAATGATCAAATTATCACGAAATACCTTACTGGATTGTTACTAAGGAAATGACAGTCTAAAGCATCCTGTAAAATTGTGGCTCCTGGTGTTCTGACATTTGCAAGAAAAATGGTATTTTTCCAACACTGGTCGGCTGACCAGCGTTGGAGAAAACTGGCTTATTTTCAAAACTGCTCCTAATTTTTCATATTTAGTTATTCCGCATTTTCTTTGCAATTGATTACACACCTTTGAAGAGGTACAAGCCTGCCAGACTGATTCTCTGACCTTACAATTCCCCAAAGCTTTCAAATTGCTCCGTTTCATCTTACATGTAAGTGGGGTCAGGAAACCAGACTACAAGAAAACGATTGGTTTTCTTGGTTTTTCCAGCATCTACAAGCCCAAAACTTGAAACAAGTCAGTTGAACAATATTTGCTACAAAGTACAAAGGAAGGAAAAGGGAAGAGGAACAAAAGAAAATCCTCGATTTACACCATAAACAGATTTGCCCTGCGAGTACACTGGTTCCCCTCCACGCATAGTCAATTCTAAGGGGGGCAGGAACCAGTCTACAATGCAAGACCTGAATAATTGTCAGGGGCAGTAAATAAGTCAAACTTTTGTTAAGTAATTAATGGATTTTTGTCGTCTCACTCAAATGTGGATATTATAAACTCTTGTATTGCAAGAAAAATAGTAGGCCAGTTACAGTTTAAATAATTCTATTATTTTTTTGGGGGGGGGTCTGAAACTAAAATAACGGCACAAGGAGAGTAAACTTAAACTTTGTGGAATTTCTAGGATCAGATGATATGTTTCATTTGTTCAGTACAAATTTAAAACAACATTTAGGGCTTACAAGGGTTGAATTGGAATTCCGTGGACAACTGTTTCTGTTTGTTTACTTCGGCATACCTTCCCACAGTTTACCCAACATCTTTTGAACCGCCTGACAAGTGGCAACAGTTGGTGTGAATTCCTGTCAGAAGACAAACAAATCTGAGCTGTGAATAAACAGATCACATAAAAGACAAAGACAACAAGAAAAGATTGGCATAGCTGTCATGTATCGTCAGGAATGTTTGGGTTTGGTTTTTAAGGGGGAGGGGTGTGTAAGTTGTGGTTGGGGGACCACCATGGGGCATGAAAGCTCAGTCGGTGGAGCACCAGTGCGTTGTTCTAGAGTTTGCAGGTTCAAATCCCGCTGTGGCTAAAGCTATCAAATCCCACTGTGGCTAAAGTATCATTAGGCCAAAAAATATAATAGTTCTGCGTACCCATTTTGACAGCCCCTACCCTAATTTTTTTTAGGGGGAAAAATGAGGGGAAAACCCTGAAAATATCAATCCCTACCTTATATCCTTGACTACATGCATGCACCTCCATATGATCGTACATCAAAAAAATTGCCCCCCCCAAAAAAAAATGTGATGTATTCGGAAGCAGAACTTTTTTTCTGGCCTAAACAAGAAAGCTGAGAACCATATTGTTGGGGGTGGGGGAAGAATTTAAAGAATGAGGAAAAAGGACCAGGGCGATTCAGTAAATTAATTCTGTTCAATTTTTAAAATCAAGAGGCCTCTTTCTAATTTAAAAATAAATGGAGAGCATTACACTCAACCTTTTTCTATACTGACCTT